TGTTAATAGGTTTTCATCGACAGATCAAGTGCAAGACTCCTAAAGAGGTTTGGTCTGGGTCTCCTGCAAGTTATACTGATTTAAGATTGTTCGATTATCCTGCTTATAGGTTGTGTTATGCAGACACTAAACCACCCAAATGTATTATTAGCAGAGGCGTGACCTTTAATGAGTTAAACTGATGAAGGAGGAACCTCTTGATGTTGGAAAAAACCACGATGTCGGTAAACAGGTGAGCTTGAATTGGAAGTTTTAGATGTCTAGCAAAATGATTTGCAAGATGATGTCCCAATCAAGCCAGATGCAAAAAACAGAGCAAGACTCTAGTGCGGCTTTGCACCAACAGGGATACATGCTTGTCAGGGATAGAGAACAGTGTTAGGCTAAGCTACCTCAAAGATATGGTTACGAAGATCTGGTTGTCTATGCACTTAGTGTGGCAAAAAATGTGGAGGCTCACAAGTCAATCACTAATCGGAATCCATCACCAGTAAAACTTCAGCACAATGGACCGTAACCATGAATGAATGAATAGATTGAGTCTCTTTATAAGAATCATACATGGGAGCTGGTGAAAATGCCGAAGGACCAAAAGATTGTTAGATGCAAATGAGTTTTTAAAAGGAAGGAACTCCTGCAGCGGAAGATGTCAGGTTCAAAACTCACTTGGTGGCCATGGATGATACACAAAAGAAGGGTGTTGACTTTAATGAAGTGTTCTCTCTTGCCGTAAAACATAGCTCGATCAAGGTTCTATGGCCATGGTTGCTCTATTTGACTTTGATTGAGTAGCTCGATGTCAAAACAGAATTTCTGCATGATGAATTGAAGGAACAGATTTATATGCATCAACCAGGGGCTTAGTAAATCCAAGGAAAGGAGGACCATGTTTGCTTGTTAAAAAAATCTTTTTACTAGTTTGAAGCAATTACCGAGGCAGTAGTACACGAGGTTCGAAACATTCATGACTACAAGTAGATGTTGTAGAAGTGAGTATGATAATTGTATCTACCACAAGATATATTTGTTATTGTACGTTGATGACATGTTAATTAGTGTGAAGAACATGTAAAACATCAAAAAGATGAATAAGTTTAGTAGTGAATGTGAGATGAAGGATTTAGGAGCTGCAAAGAAAATATTTGGGATGAAAATTCGCAGGGTAATCTTGTTTCAAGGCATATATGATATCAGGTCTTTGGGTTTTTTTTTGCAATGTGTTAAGCATGTTCTTGGAACTACGAGGCATGGTTACCACAATTCACCAAATCCTTAGCGATCCACGATCTGGGTACGTTGATCCCAAATAAGGAGGGTTCGGGATCCATATCACCAAAATAGACGACTCCAAANGGGTCTTTGGTTTTTTTTTTCAATGTGTTAAGCATGTTCTTGGAACTACGAGGCATGGTTACCACAATTCACCAAATCCTTAGCGATCCACGATCTGGGTATGTTGATCCCAAATAAGGAGGGTTCGGGATCCATATCACCAAAATAGACGACTCCAAATTATAATACTAACTCTAAATCAATTCGTTTTAGAACATGTATCACAAATATAAAATACATATTAATTGACTACATGTATATAGATTTAATGTTGTATAATAATGAAAACGATCTACATAAAAGTTCCAAAATAAATTACGACCCAAAATACCGTACCAGCTAAACCTACCTCTATTGTACCACGCACCTAAAAAAAATGTCGTACTATGTACCCATAACCGTACCAAAGCAACCCACGATTTAGGTAACATTGCTATGAGGCATAAGTAAACTACTTGTCTCTTCCATGCAGAGGAAAGTTGTTAAAGTGCGTACTGTAACCTGGCATTGTACTAATAGTAGTATAAGTGTGAGGTTTATGTAAACAANTCTACCTCTATTGTACCACGCACCTAAAAAAAATGTCGTACTATGTACCCGTAACCGTACCAAGCAACCCACGATTTAGGTAACATTGCTACGAGGCATAAGTAAACTACTTGTCTCTTCAATGCAGAGGAAAGTTGTTAAAGTGTGTACTGTAACCTGGCATTGTACTAATAGTAGTATAAGTGTGAGGTTTATGTAAACAATCTTGTGTGAAGTATTATATCCATCACATAGTTTGCTCTCTACATTCTTCAAGAGTTTCTTTCAGGCCTTCTAAGCAGTTCATCCATACCTGCACTCCCTCTTTCTGCCACATAATATGAGCATGTACCCCAATGGGCCATCCAGCATCTCTGCAAATAATTCAACCTAAGTACGCAAGACGTGTAATCCACATCTAAACTCCAATCAATTATGATGTAAAGTGAGCTGCTCTTAGCTACAAGGCTTAGTCTCTGGCTATTACTGCATTCTCGACACTTCTACAAATTTTCTTCCGTCAATTTTAACTCCAACAAAGTTCTTCAAATCCCTGTCAATATCCTCTCATTTTATGTCCGATGTCCACATCCAGCATTATGAATTTCCCTTCAAAATGTTTTGAACATAAATTTTCAAATTTTTTATCTGATTCCATTGTATTTACGAAAACATTTTCAAAATATTTCTAAAGCGTTTCTGTTTCCTAGATGACCAAAACCAAAACGAAATTTGGATCTTTACTTATATATATTTCAAACAGTAAACGCCACATTTGATGCTTTATGCAGAAAATCACAAACCACAAAGCATCAATATTTAAAATCTAACAAAGTTTTTCCTCTCTCCATGACTTGGGACAAAAGACAAATTTGGCCCCTTCCTCCATTAAATTGAACATCTTCCAAGCCCAATGGAAGATGGTTTTTTGCACTCTCGTGGGAAAAGATCTTCCTGTTTTATAATTCCCTAGTAAACTAAGCTCTTTGAACCTTCCTTACCCTACTTGTAATATGAGCCCATAAAATTCGTTCTAGCAAAGAAGAAAGGATGTTATCCAAGGGTGGTGAATTTTATGTATTGTTATTGAACCATTGCCCAACACACCCGAGGGGAAACACAATCTGCGGCAGGGCATTAGTGGAAACCAAGTCATTGACGAAGGCACTTGGCAATGATGTCAGATCATTTACTCCAAGAATAGGTTTTGGATAAGGAATTTAGAAACAAGAGGAGAGGTCGAATAAACTTGAGCAGTGTTGTTTAAAGGAAAAAATAGATTCAAACAAAAATCAAGAATTAAATGGATAAAATAAGGTAATTATAATTCTACAATTTGCCAAGTAGAAGAAAGTTTTTATTTCTAGGGGTAGATTAATGATGTTTTAGTCTGCCTTGGCCAGTATTCCTATTTATAACATGTCACTCTTTAAAATGTTTTGTTCAGTGATAAGAAAAATTGAAGAGTTAATGAGGGATTTTTATAGGAAGGGAGGGGTTTGGGAAGTAAGATGACATGATTTGTTGGGAGGTGGTTGGTGTCTAGGCCTAAAACTAAAGACATTCTTTTGATTGTAGCCTTGGTTGGTAAATGGTTGTGGAGATTCCCTTTGGAGCAAGATTTATTGTGGTATTCTATCATTAAGAGAAAATATGGGATAAAAAGCGCTCCGGTGGGATGCTAATGGAGTTAAAAGGAGCAATCTTCCTAATCCATGAACCTTGCTTTTCTCAAAGGGGTTAAGTTCTTTGTGAAAGATCGAATATTTTGTTTTCGAGAAGATGTTNGGAGCAATCTTCCTAGTCCATGAACCTTGCTTTTCTCAAAGGGGTTAAGTTCATTATGAAAGATCGAATATTTTGTTTTCGAGAAGATGTTTTAGTTAGGGAGTCTTCATTTGNAGGAGCAATCTTCCTAATCCATGAACCTTGCTTTTCTCAAAGGGGTTAAGTTCTTTGTGAAAGATCGAATATTTTGTTTTCGAGAAGATGTTTTAGTTAGGGAGTCTTCATTTGCCGGTTCATTTTTATCATATCTTTTTTTCATCTTAGCAACTACATTACTTGTCTAGCTTGGTCATACTCTCATCCGGTTTCTTAGGACTTTTGGTTTTGGTACGAGTTTCAATGATAGGGAATGTTCGAAGTTGTCGGTACTTTTTTCTATGCTTAACAATGTTACCTTACAAAAAGCCATTGAATAGAAGATGTTGATCAATGTCCCAATGGATGTTTTCTCATGTAAATCATTCTTTGACTACTTAATTGATGATTCTTCCCTTCCATTATTCCATCCATCGTTGAAGATTTAGAAACCCAAAGAGCCTATAAAGGTGAAAATGTGTGTATCGATAATTTCTCATCATAAGACCAATATTAATAATGTCTGAAAACTTGCCTTCTTCCGCACCGGTGCATTATGTGCAAGGAGATAATGAGAGAGTAGAGTATTTATTTTTGCATAGCACTATTTTGCAATCACTAGGGAACAAATTATTTCACTTTGTGGGACTGTTGGGTGGCACCAAGGTCCATGTCATCTAAGTACCACCTTAGCATTATGGGTTTTAGAGGAGATAAAAGAGGGAAGACCCTTTGGCTTTCTGCACTTTTAATTTCTACATGGGTATTTGGTTAAAAAAGAAAGCGAGTTGAAGGTTAAGATTTTGGGGATCAAATTTATTTTTTGACCTTCTTTTTGTGTCTCAATGCCAAAGGATTTCAAGAATGTTCCTCTTTTTAATTGATTGCGAGTTAGAGAACATTGTATGGAATGTAACATGGTCATAAAGTCCATGGTTGTGTTATGTATGTTTTGTCTTCACCAGTCATTGGGTTGGACGGCTTGTCCACTTTTGATTTTTTTTTTTTTTTTTGGGGGCAATGCTTTGACATATTTATTAATAAAATTATCGTTCTTATCAAGAAAACAAAAGTTGGACCAAATTGGGACTTCTTATGTAGTTCCCATAAAAAAACTATCGTTTTGTTTGAAAATGCCATTTTATGCCTAGTTTCTCGAGCATGGATGAACCAAGTAGTATGCAGGTACCCAAATAGAGAACAACTTAAATCCAGCCAGCATTATTACTGCTGACAGGGTGAGTAAGCAAACCACAAGTGGCATATATCAATGATCCTTACACCTAAGAAATCATATATCAATAATGCTAACACCCAAAAAAAAAGATATGGGCCATTCAAAGGAATGGTGGGTGGCACAGCCTTATTGATACTTGATACTTTAATATCGCAACTGTAAAGGACAAAATTAATGACCTGGGAGCCATGCTGATCACAGATGACTAAACGAGGTACTGGAAATCTTTCCTTGATTACCACATTTGCATCGTCTTGGGGAGCTCGTAGTAACTGAGCAAATACCTGCAAGGACAATTGGTATCGAATGAGCTAGTAAAACGAAATTTAAAAATTATAAATTGCAGCAATAAAATTAAAACCTAATGAATTTAGTGTTCATATGGCAGATTCAGGAGCTATAACCTTTCACTCACAAGTTAGTAAAACCCATCAACCTGGACGTCTACCATACAAGCCAATAGACTCATCAACCTGGACCCCTCAACCATGCAAATTAGTATTTTTATCAATCAGGATCCCGTCCACCAATAGTTTGAGAGGGAAGCAAACAAGAAATTGGATTAACAACTGACATACAAACTCTTGATCGCAACAATCCCTAGTTCGCAATCAGCATAGGAGTTTGGGGTAAGTGAGTCAACTCAAATTGGAAAAGGAAGTAGAACAGGGTATGGACGATGAAGTAAATTCCAAAATCATCTCATTGAACTCCATATTTGTTATGCCAGCCACCACATGGAATAGCTAGTTGTGCTATGTCATACACACTCATACAATTGTTTGGGTGACCTATGAACCACTCAATACAGAAATTGTACAGAGGAAGAGGAGAGAAAAGATATAGAGAAAGGATTTAAAACAGAAGAGAAGAAGACGAAGAAGAAGAGAAAATAGGAGGGGGAGAAATTTTACTGCAACAGCTTCTANCAAAAAGAACAGAGGAAGAGGAGAGAAAAGATATAGAGAAAGGATTTAAAACAGAAGAGAAGAAGACGAAGAAGAAGAGAAAATAGGAGGGGGAGAAATTTTACTGCAACAGCTTCTATTTTTTTGAAACACAAAGCGGGTAACCAGTAATGGCACGAAGTTTCTCTGGAATTTCTCCCTACCTACGCCAATATATAAATAGGAAGAAAAAAGAAAGGGGGAAGCCAAAGATGCAGAAGGAAAGGGATGGAGCATCCCAAGACTAACTAAAGTTACGGAAATGTTGATGACCAAAATTTTTAGCTTCCAAATATGGAAACACAATGGGCTGCAGCTCAGAAAAATCCACTGCTAGGATTGAGGCCAAAGCTTTCAGTCCCAAACGTGGTTACAAGGGTATATAATGAGAAAATGTTTCTCCATCCAGAAATAAGAAGCTAAGATTGAAAGTTTATCATATCATCCTTCTCCTACGACAAGAAAACCTGAAAAAGAAAATAAAGAAAGATCATGGCTACATCTCGACGTCACTTGGCAGCCTTAGATGAAAACATATCATGGAGACATCTAAAATTTCAAAGTAGCTACCGACTTAAATGCTGTGCAATAGGACATTAAGTTAGAAAACCAAAGTCCATGATTGTTGACAGCCTACAACAATAGACATAGACTCTAAATTCTCCTTGTTTTATAGAATCAAGAACTCCTGAATTCTTTTCCATTTAAGGCTGTCATGTCAACCAATGATGTGTCATCCATTTAGCAGTTACAGTTCAGCTTCAAAAAAGACCACCAACTTCACATAACATATGACCAACAGAACAATAAAAAAAGGCATTTAAAATGAAATGAGAGTTAAACTTTAAATATTCGTGTAAGTTCACATTCCCAAAAAGAATACCTCGTGTTCAGGCTGATTATGGTATCCAGCTTTTCGCCATTGAGCAATAGTAGCACCATGAAATACAACAATGGTAAAGTAAGAATCCAGAAGAAGAATTCTATCAGCAGCAATGGCAGCTACGTCAAGGAGAGCTGGTTCTGGAGCAGAATGAAAAGAGTAAGAGATCAAAGAAGGCTGAATCATCACGACTGAATTAGCAATATTTTCCCGGTCCAGAATCATTCTAAAATATGCCGTCTCATCCGGACTGTTGTTAAACACCTGAATCCAAATGATGGGGAAAATGCTAGAGTTGAATACCAGAAAATGAAAGCTAGAGTGTAAAAAAAAACAAAAGAGAGAGAGAGAGATGCCAAAATAAGGATATGTTTTTATCGAAAACCAACAAACACCTGGACAAACTGAGAGCGTCGTAAATTAAACATAAACTGAGGAAATATTGAAAACCGAGGAGACAAGCTGAAAGAAGACGGGCTGTCCTTTTGGTAATCACCGAATCTAGAACATAGATGTATTAATGATTTATCCAACCATCTTATAGGGTCAAATTCAGCCTGCAAACCAATAAGAACATTGGATTAGGAAGTAAATAATCGTATTGTGAAATACCAAGCAAAAAGAATATCACAAAAGATTCCACAAACGTCCCATATTACTGAGAAGGCCAAGACCTTTTTTTTGCTTTGCCAAACACATTTATTACATTGTTATGATTATAAAGAGAAGCCTGTTGATGCAGTACAAGTGTGGGAAACACACTACTTTAAAAGATGATACCAAGTTGGATGTTACACAGCAGAAGAATACTTTCAGATGTTATAGCGTCTTTGGTAGCTAAATAGATTTGGCAGTTAGTCAAATACTGGAATTTCAGGTTTCGATAACGATAAAGAGAGCATTAAGATTTAGGGCTTCAATTAAGGAAAAGAAGTTCCTACTTGCTGCTCTGAACAAATTTTATGTTCCTTGTGATCTTTTAAATGGCTCAAGTCTTGGGTTCCATGGAAGAACTGAGGGCCCTATACTATAGGCTGTGAATGAGAGAAATAAAGTTCAGTCAAATCATCTGGTGAGGATTAGAAAGCTTAAAGGACATTGAGAATATTAAGAAGACAATGACAAAGTTAGAGGAGATGGAGACAGAGAGTAGTACAATTCAACCCGGTGAGGATTGAGTAAAATCACACAACAAAATATCACTTTCTGTATGGACTATTGGTTTTCATCATCTTACTAGATAGAACCATAACTTCTTCCTGTAAAACTCCACAATCTGACATTCTGAATCTTCAAACATGTTTTCTTCATCAAGGAAAAGAGGTGTTTAGAATCCAAAAATGACCTATTTCACTCTAGTCAATTATATCCTAGCTTTCAGATTTTATGTTAGGGAGGGGGGTTGAGACTTGAAACAGGGTCCTCACGTCGGCAAAAGGGTGGTCCCTTCCCAACTGGGAGAACTCTTGGTCTCCTCTTCACCCTTTCGACATGGATGTGGTGTTTTCAAGAAAATTAGTAGGGCTAGTATTTCTTTCATGATATCATCATGGCAACCTATCAGAGAAAAATACATCATCTTTGCATGAGAAGCTTTTTACATGAGATTCCCAACAATGAAGGCAGTAACAAGAGGGGTCTGGATTTAGCTATCCAAACTAAAATGTTGCTCCAAAATGGAACAGCTAGATCATTTCTTCATGCATGATAAGCTAGGAAGCACAGAAACTATATTTTCGGTCCAAGTGTTGGTGTTCGATATATGTCAGACATGGTAAAATGAGTGTTCAATTTTTTTATTGTCAAATTTATTTCAGGCCATGTTGGGGACATGCCACCGACATGCTTGGGACATATTTCTCTCTCACTCTCTGTCTCTCTCTATCTCTGTTCAATTGCCGCTTCCCCATCCACTCCACCGCCAAAGGTGCCGCTTCCCCGTCCACTCCACCGCTAATAGCGTCAAAGACAATCACCGCTACCCCCAGCCCATGCCACCAGCCCTCCATCNAGCGTCTTTGGTAGCTAAATAGATTTGGCAGTTAGTCAAATACTGGAATTTCAGGTTTCGATAAGGATAAAGAGAGCATTAAGATTTAGGGCTTCAATTAAGGAAAAGAAGTTCCTACTTGCTGCTCTGAACAAATTTTATGTTCCTTGCGATCTTTTAAATGGCTCAAGTCTTGGGTTCCATGGAAGAACTGAGGGCCCTATACTATAGGCTTTGAATGAGAGAAATAAAGTTCAGTCAAATCATCTGGTGAGGATTAGAAAGCTTAAAGGACATTGAGAATATTAAGAAGACAATGACAAAGTTAGAGGAGATGGAGACAGAGAGTAGTACAATTCAACCCGGTGAGGATTGAGTAAAATCACACAACAAAATATCACTTTCTGTATGGACTATTGGTTTTCATCATCTTACTAGATAGAACCATAACTTCTTCCTGTAAAACTCCACAATCTGACATTCTGAATCTTCAAACATGTTTTCTTCATCAAGGAAAAGAGGTGTTTAGAATCCAAAAATGACCTATTTCACTCTAGTCAATTATATCCTAGCTTTCAGATTTTATGTTAGGGAGGGGGGTTGAGACTTGAAACAGGGTCCTCACGTCGGCAAAAGGGTGGTCCCTTCCCAACTGGGAGAACTCTTGGTCTCCTCTTCACCCTTTCGACATGGATGTGGTGTTTTCAAGAAAATTAGTAGGGCTAGTATTTCTTTCATGATATCATCATGGCAACCTATCAGAGAAAAATACATCATCTTTGCATGAGAAGCTTTTTACATGAGATTCCCAACAATGAAGGCAGTAACAAGAGGGGTCTGGATTTAGCTATCCAAACTAAAATGTTGCTCCAAAATGGAACAGCTAGATCATTTCTTCATGCATGATAAGCTAGGAAGCACAGAAACTATATTTTCGGTCCAAGTGTTGGTGTTCGATATATGTCAGACATGGTAAAATGAGTGTTCAATTTTTTTATTGTCAAATTTATTTCAGGCCATGTTGGGGACATGCCACCGACATGCTTGGGACATATTTCTCTCTCACTCTCTGTCTCTCTCTATCTCTGTTCAATTGCCGCTTCCCCGTCCACTCCACCGCTAATAGCGTCAAAGACAATCACCGCTACCCCCAGCCCATGCCACCAGCCCTCCATCTTCCTCTTCCTCACACAAATTTAACAAGCACCCACCCTATCCCCAACCCACAACCCCTGCCCACGCAATCAGCAACACCAGAAATCCAACAAACCCCTTCACATGAATTTCTTGAGTTTCTTGACCCAAGAATTCAGGTCATTACGCGAGCATCTTTCACCTTCCATTGAACCAACTTCATAGGATCGGTAGGTGCTGGATCACTCCCATCAACATGACCCCACAATTCATTTCCCATGACAAAAAGTTGAAACTGAAACTCCCAGGCAGCATAATTCTTTCCTGTAAACCGAGTTTGAAAGACTTTTGAGTTGGAGTTGTTAGCCATAACTAGAATCTCTCGAAATTCACCTAAAAACTGCAAACCAGAACCTGCACTCAAGAAACCAGAAAACCAGAGCCTAGAACCACAAAAATTGGATCAAAGACAAGGTTGATTCAGAGAGTGGCTCTGATACCATGTCAGATTTGCTCAATGACGCTCAATGGAGAGGTACTTTCTTATACAGAAATCATTTTCCCTAATTACAATATCTCCTAACATTAAGCATCCTAATTACAGCATCTCCTAACATTACGCATTGACCTCTAATTCGGAAAAGATATTTACAGATTTGTTTCCTAAATAACTATACAATAATTTATGGCAGGCTTGACAGATTTGTTTCCTAAATAAATATAGGACAAATTTTGGTAAGTCTGTTGTATATCCTACTAACACATTTGAGATGTTTGGTTAAGGTGTAATTGGGACTATATTGCATTGGATTAACTAGATCTTTGTTTGAGGTCACTTTAATGAAACTGAAAACAAAATAGGGCTGAAACTAGGATTGGGATTTTGTATTTGTGATGANCCCAGCCCATGCCACCAGCCCTCCATCTTCCTCTTCCTCACACAAATTTAACAAGCACCCACCCTATCCCCAACCCACAACCCCTGCCCACGCAATCAGCAACACCAGAAATCCAACAAACCCCTTCACATGAATTTCTTGAGTTTCTTGACCCAAGAATTCAGGTCATTACGCGAGCATCTTTCACCTTCCATTGAACCAACTTCATAGGATCGGTAGGTGCTGGATCACTCCCATCAACATGACCCCACAATTCATTTCCCATGACAAAAAGTTGAAACTGAAACTCCCAGGCAGCATAATTCTTTCCTGTAAACCGAGTTTGAAAGACTTTTGAGTTGGAGTTGTTAGCCATAACTAGAATCTCTCGAAATTCACCTAAAAACTGCAAACCAGAACCTGCACTCAAGAAACCAGAAAACCAGAGCCTAGAACCACAAAAATTGGATCAAAGACAAGGTTGATTCAGAGAGTGGCTCTGATACCATGTCAGATTTGCTCAATGACGCTCAATGGAGAGGTACTTTCTTATACAGAAATCATTTTCCCTAATTACAATATCTCCTAACATTAAGCATCCTAATTACAGCATCTCCTAACATTACGCATTGACCTCTAATTCGGAAAAGATATTTACAGATTTGTTTCCTAAATAACTATACAATAATTTATGGCAGGCTTGACAGATTTGTTTCCTAAATAAATATAGGACAAATTTTGGTAAGTCTGTTGTATATCCTACTAACACATTTGAGATGTTTGTTTAAGGTGTAATTGGGACTATATTGCGTTGGATTAACTAGATCTTTGTTTGAGGTCACTTTAATGAAACTGAAAACAAAATAGGGCTGAAACTAGGATTGGGATTTTGTATTTGTGATGATTTGAAAAGTCTTTTAATTTCCAGATAAGTTGGGGTGATGTTAGCATCTTAAGGGATGATGATAACTACATTGAAGAAGCAACTATCCCCATATTGGAAGCCTTCTGCTCAAAATAAAGGTGAACATAGTGGTAGATATGGTGATGATAGAGGTCGGGATCATGGATGGTGGTGCAATAATTGAGAGCTAGAACTAAGCGAACTTAGTTTCTTACTTGTAGTTTAGTAGTTCAGCTTAGTGATAGGTATTGTTAATGACTTAAACTTGAGTATTTAAGCTAAAATAAGTCTGTTGATTAAGCATGAATTGTTTTTGCTTATGGTGTTTACAAGTGGTGGGAAGACACATACTATGCATGTAATTCTATTGCCACTGTGATATATTTCCCTCTATACCTTATATTTAAGTTGGTATAAAGGTTTTACAATCTCCTATTACTTTAGTCTTTAGTTGTATCTCATGGAGGCTGTTACAATAGACAATTGTTGACATGATTGTGCAAACCCTTAAAGCAAAAAAACCATGTAATTAACTGTCAGTTAGTTTTATTATTCCAATGAAGTACCATTGTCTTATCCTAACAGTGTTTTCAAGCACGGTGACCTCTACGAGTGCTCGAATGAGGGTTCAACCTTTTTCAGTAGAGTATCATTTTTTATAATAATGTTTGGAGTGTTGGCTTTGGTGACAAAAGTTTATGCAATATGGAAAGCTTGCAATTTGGCAATTGCGGAGAAGTATCATTTTGTGATCATTGAATCAGATTCATAGGTTTTCTTGAATTCTTTGACACAAAAACAGGTGAAGTACATCAAGGAGATTGAAGTCATTCAGAGAAATGTTTGGAATTACACAAAGCTGATGCCTTTAATTAAACTCCAGTTCATTAGAAGGGAAGATGATATGGCAGCCAATTGAATAGCTTCTCAAGCAAAGAATGGGTGTCTTTTTTCATAGTGGACTGATGGTATACCAAGTAGCTTAATAAATATGTGCTTCCAAGAGGCTAGAGTAGGAGTGGGATAAACTAGCTCTGGAAAGAGCAGATTGATGTAGTTGATCCTTTTGTACTCTTTGTTTTGGATGTATTACTATTCTTTCTTTAATAAAATGATCAAAGAAATGAGGTGGTTGCAGGTAAACAGTTGTATTAAGACAAGATTGTGGTGTGATTGTGAGTCAGTAATTGGTTTGAGTTGTGTTTTTTAATTTTTACCAATTAGTAATGTGCTTATATAATTTTTGCACAAAGGTTGCTATTGTTTCAGGGGTCATGTTTTAAAGAAAATTGTCAATTTTTTTTTTAAAAAAATAATGGGCTCATGTTGGAAGGGGAATTTTATCAATTTTTCTGATTGGCCATTTTTTGGTATTAATTGTGTCGTTAGGCATTAGAATTGCTTGCATTTTTTTTGTTTCATAAATCATACCTTCAGGCACTGGCAATTGCTAGTATGTATATATATATATATATATACACATATATAGATGATGAAATGAATGATTATTATTATCAAACATATTTATTTTATCATATGATCTTTATATATTTAATTGGTGGTTAATCTCCCGAGTAAGATGATTATTAAAGCAAGAGGGAAGATAGAAAGATGGGACACAAGTGAGTGGTCAGGGTGTATGTGTGTTGCATATAGATATATAACGTATCCGTGACCTACTTTTTTGAAAAAAATTCATGTCAGCATAACCGAGTCCTGTGTCCCGTGTTCATGCTTCTTAGATTATAAGTTTGCTTATGAACTTTGGTGGTTCATTTATCTTGGTTTATTGTTTTCCGTTTTCACTTCCCTCTAAAGTAGCTGCTTTTTTAATAGTGACTTAAAACTTGAACCCAAGGGGCGGCATTCCATTTCCGATGTTCTCCATATAACGTTACAGAAAGGAAGTTACAGATCTCCAAGTTACTTATCCATTTTGGAAGTTCAAGATCTTCTAATTGGAAGGCCCGAACATATGTTGCTAGAGGCAATAGACTTTGTTGCATTAAATTCGCCAACAACAGAAACATCACAAGGAGTCAGATTCAGAGAGTGGATGGACAGATGGAGACAGGAGACATCTGTTATCAACACCTTTTTTGTTAAAATAAATAGTTCTGAAAACAATGCACTATCAATAGACTAGACCAAACTAATGCACTGACACAAGTTTTGTACGAATCAACACAATAAAGACAGGTTAAAAGAGCAAATTATGCAAATTCATTACCTCAGTTTCCATTTTGAAAGAAACTTGGCGTGCCATGACTGCGGCAGCGGCTTCTTGGTCAAATCCAGCAATTAGGTCCTGAATATAAAAACAACATTTTCAATATCAACTTACAATCAAGATCCAGCAAAATAGAAGAAAGCCCCAAACAGTAGGTCATACTGAAAAGATAAGCAATAGAGTAACATAAAAGGAAGTTGAAGAAAAGGAAGAAGAAAAAAGAAGTACTCCAAAGGAAAGAAAGTTAAAAATTAGAATCAATTAATACAAAACAGCATATGACGCCATTAAAGACAATCATAATGAAAGCAAGAATATAAATTCAAAACAATACCAAGTAAATATCAACTCAATTTCTGAGATGGACTGAAACATAAACTTGCAAAGATGTCAGAAACTATTGGTAATATGTTTCACATCACAACAGAGGCTCTAGCAACCATCTAAGAAGCATGGACACGGATACTACACAACACGGACATGTCGACACAACATTTCTCAAAAAAGTAAGATATGAACGCGTTAGGGGCACGCTACAAAAAAAATTATATTTTATATATAGCATTATATAATTTATTGCAAATATAGTGATAATGATATACAATTCATAAAAGACTCAGTATTTTATGATAAGTAAATCTAATGTCTAGTCATCTTTGTGAATTTTTAGACTAAAACATCCTCATAATAGTCAATAATCATCAATTTTTTTTGTAGACAATGCGTACTTAATATATAATTTAAATAATTGCTCTCATTTTCTCAATTCTTCTTTTTTAAAATTTTTATGCATCTTTTGTTTTTATTATTATGTTTAGAGTACAATTTTAACATGACTAGTGTTAGTAATTATATGTTTTAAAATTTTTAAACTTTGTTAATCACATTTCAACACAAGTGTATTATTTAATAGTAGNCGTACTTAATATATAATTTAAATAATTGCTCTCATTTTCTCAATTCTTCTTTTTTAAAATTTTTATGTATCTTTTGTTTTTATTATTATGTTTAGAGTACAATTTTAACATGACTAGTGTTAGTAATTATATGTTTTAAAATTTTTAAACTTTGTTAATCACATTTCAACACAAGTGTATTATTTAATAGTAGACACGTTTTAAAGAAATGTCGGACACATCACCAAAGAAATGTCGGATACGTCACCAAAGAAGTGTTCGATACGTACACGAAATTAAAAATTTATTATTTGATTATGGACACAGATAAAAAAGTATCGGACACCTGTCCGAAGAGTGTCGGTGTCCGACACGTATCTGACNCTAAAGAAATGTCGGACACATCACCAAAGAAATGTCGGATACGTCACCAAAGAAATGTTCGATACGTACACGAAATTAAAAATTTATTATTTGATTATGGACACGGATAAAAAAGTATCGGACACCTGTCCGAAGAGTGTCGGTGTCCGACACGTATCTGACACGGATACGTCAACTTCTCAAGAGTGTCCATCCTTCATAGGCAACCATTAATAATGTAGCTCTCTATAATTTTTTGGTACAGGGCTAAAAAATTTTCCACCAGAGCCTTGCGATGACCATTGCTCTCCGTACATTCTAACACTAAATACTTCGGGATCCCATTTTCAAATATAGAAAAATGCAACAACAATGTTGTCAGAAAGGTAAGGAAACACGTGCATCTAGATGGAGAATAAATGTGTTATAAATCGAGATTAGGCCAAAATAAAGGTACAACTATTGCTCCCAAGGTTCTCAATGACTAGTCCCAGTGATGACACCTACTTCCGGTTGGAAGTAAAAAAAAAATTTGACCAGTTATTTAGGAATTTGAGGACTAGCAAAAATAGTGGCACTAACAGAGACAACTTTATTTATGTGCATCAAAAAATATTGTCGGGAAAATCAAAAGAGCAATAATGCTTGATGACTCCACAATCTAAAATGTGGTAAAAATATTGAACTTGAAACCTTTTTGAAAGGGGACTTTTCCAAAATATACTAATCCTAAGCAAAAGGATTGCTATAGTAATCTGTGACCCATGTAGGAGTAGGCATTGGCATAGACGTAATCGCTCTTTTGTCATCTTAGCTTCATGGATGCACAAATCCCACAGATCCCTACAAATCGGCTTCAAACATCTGGCCCTTCTCCGATTTTGCAGTGGCGAGAGCCTCGTGCACTAGATAGCCTTTTTTTCGATAGCCTTCTGTGAACCATGCTATTCACATGTGCCCATATCACCTTTGAATGATATGGGCACATGTTGGAGGCTGATTTCTCAGCAAGGCATGGACCAACTATATTATATGCGGATATGGCGAATCCATTTTCCCCTACACTAAAGCTTCATGGAATTTTTAGCCTATTGTTTTTCCTTGTCTTTGTTTAGGTGCTTTGCTTTGGTGGCAAGGAGGTCTTTTTTTGGCTAGGAGGTTTAGAATCAAATTTCTTTAGAGAAAGATCTCTCATCCCTCTTTTTGTATATCTCGGCCTTTTTATCAACTTTCTACCTCCATAATAGCATTATACTACCGACTATTAGGAAAAGAGATGCAATATAAGTTCCACTATGATGCCACTTATAGGGGGGCAAACCAATCTAAAACTAACACCATATACATTCAAAGGTTTGTAAAATACACCTCACGAATAAACTGGATGTTGATCAGCAGAAGCTATCAAAAATCATATTTCTTATATCCGTACAAATAGTAACCCCTTTTAGATTTAATCTCCTCTAACATCAGCCGAGACTCTCCATCCTCTCACATTTCTGCACTACTGACATGCCCTTAAAAAATAAATCATTTATCTCCACAATGTGGGAGTTTCACCTCTCTTAGCAACCTATCCCTTTTGCTATATTCCCTCACCTTATGTCACACAACCACAACTAGTATGGTGTGTCCTCCAACCTGCCTTGTTGTTCACACCAAGTACTCATACCCTCCCTCCCGGTTTAAAGAATTAGTCAAGTCTAATAGAACTTGGTCGAGTTGTACCGAATTGGAACTAACTATTCTGATATCGTTGCATATTTGGTGTAAACCATAAGTCTCACTCGTCACATAGTTGACTCGAATGCTTCTCAGCTGAGTCATCATCATCAACCCGCTTAACATCGTTCCGTGATACCACGCAATGGTATGAATCTCTCGAAATATTTAATTTATTTCATCTATCAATTGTTTTGTATCGCTCAATACAGTTCCCCGGCCCCATGATTCAAAACTTTCCGAATCAACGCCATAATGGAGCCTTGAATTATAAGTGGGCGATGAGAGGTCATCTTAGCGCCCATGATTCTATTTCACTTCCATTATTCAAGTGTCAAAAAAGGTGTCTCTTTTTCCTAATTTGTTGCTTTATCATCGTATTTCTAAGCTTTCTATAAATAATTTCTTCAAAATAACACACTTATAACCAAAGTCTCATACCATTAATNTGAAATATTTAATTTATTTCATCTATCAATTGTTTTGTATCGCTCAATACAGTTCCCCGGCCCCATGATTCAAAACTCTCCGAATCAACGCCATAATGGAGCCTTGAATTATAAGTGGGCGATGAGAGGTCATCTTAGCGCCCATGATTCTATTTCACTTCCACTATTCAAGTGTCAAAAAAGGTGTCTCTTTTTCCTAATTTGTTGCTTTATCATCGTATTTATAAGCTCTCTATAAATAATTTCTTCAAAATAACACACTTATAACCAAAGTCTCATACCATTAATAATCCTTTTCAGATTTATAATGTCATGATATAAATCAACATACCAGAGCTAAGATTGAAGTTTGTTTTCATTATCTAATTACATTCCTAGGAACTAACTTAAAAATTCAACAGTAGAAACCAAGAAAAAATACTTTTCATGCCCACATATAGTCTTGGTTCAAGGTCGCAGTATATGAACTCGAAGGGCACTGATATATAGCAGTCGCCGCACAATATCAACCGATACGCCCAAAATGCNCAGCTATGAACTCGAAGGGCACTGATATATAGCAGTCGCCGCACAATATCAACCGATACGCCCAAAATGCTTGATAAAAAACCCAAAAAATTCTAATAAATTAAAAAAAAAATTAAAAAATGTAAACAACACAACACATGCATCATATGTCCTAAATAGATAGGTTTCAAATCATAATAATTGTACCTANTTTAAAAAATGTAAACAACATAACACATGCATCATATGTCCTAAATAGATAGGTTTCAAATCATAATAATTGTACCTAAGTTAATTATACAAACCGGGTAAATTATTTTCATCATAAGGTTAAAATCTAGATCTAAATATAATTTTAATATTTATGTATACACAGTCAAAAAAGTTGAAAATTACAGAAAACATTATGTTGATTTACGCTTGAGAACATATAAATTTTTTTGAGAAATTTTATCTAATTTATAAATTACATATGTATTATGTTTTAATTGTAAAATCTGTTTTTTTAATTAATAGAGTACAATTTTATTAAACACGTTAAATACCAACTAACACTCTTATTTGTCTAATATAATAATACTTGGTATAATAAGTTGTTGACTCAATTAAGAGTCTTAGACCAACCAAGACACAGAAGTTCCAAGCGACAAGAGAGCGAGAACCCCTTCGTTGGTGTTGCCTGTGAGAAGAAAAAGAGAAGGGCTAATGCTCTGACGCTTGAATGAAGAAGAAATGGTTGTACTACTGCCGCTGTATGTAGCTGTACAGGATCTCCTGGTTTTTCGCCAAATCCTTTCAATTTCCCTTTTAGGATTTGTTGATTTCTTCTACTTCTTGTGGTTTCTACATCTTTGGGTTTGTGAATCTATAGATGGGGCTGGTCGTCTTCTTCTTCTTCTCCCCTTCTCTTTTTTCTGGCTTTTTACAGCATCTAGATCTGCAGATGATTCTCACCGACTTGGCCGGACTCGGTCCAACTCTGTTCGAGTGAAACGATTTGACTCCGATTTCTTACAATATCTCTGAGTGGTGACCGAGTCAACGCTGATTTGCTTGAGTCTCATGTTATTTGCATACCGTGGTGTAGCGGTATCAGATTGGTGATGGTCAAAGACGGATACAACTTAGCCGATACTTCGAACCTTGATAGTAGTAAGATAACTCCAAATAACTTTCAAAAAATAAAAAAAGATAATTCAAAAGAGTCAAAAGAATATGGTGCCACAACTGTGACATCTGCTTGAGCGTAATCTTTGTAGTTCAATTTTTATGCGCACCACCATTTTTTTTCTTCAAAGTAACGAGCAACAAGCAAGAGCATTTACCATAATGGTGACAAATAACACAAAAAGGCTTGCCTGTATGCTTCCAGTTCCAGCAACCCATCTTCTTGATAGAGTAGTAGCACGAAGTCTCATTTGTCCACTGCTATGCTGATAACTGGAACAAAAAATCGGTCATAAGTTCAAATGTTCCCAATTGAGAAGCCAAAAGGTTGAAAACTAATATTTCAGGAAATAATGAAGTTTAAAGTTCGTACTAAGTTAAAAATTGGAAGTAAAACTGATTGTTTGCTGATTGACCAATAGCATCAGGGCTCTCCTTTTTTACAATTTCAAATATTAAACACAAGGATGTAGCTTTGTCAAGGCCACACATCTTCCATGCAGTGGTATTCCCCTGGCCAACAACAGTTTCAGAGCACAAAGGACCTTTCTGCACAAAGCCACTAACCAGTAAAATGTCTAAAATGAAGTCTGGAAAAATAAAAAAACAGAGGAATCCATCAAAGGCTTGGGCTAAACCGTCTCAAGAATAAATATCTATAATGAAGTCAGAATAAAGGAGGAATCCTTCAAAAGCTTGGGTCAAACCTTTTCAAGTGATGCACAAGGACCAATAATGCCCTGAATTTTGATATCCTTTGAGCAGTTCACCTCAAATATACCACTGCATGAAGTTTAAAACCAAAATGAGTATTAGATTGATCTCCCATTCTGATTTTCATTATAATAAAAGAGAGAATGAACACATAAGAAAAAACTCTCTCCAAGTTGGTTGGGGAGATGTTAAAATGTTATTTAGAACAACAACTAGAGTTCAACCAAACCTTAATTTCTTGACCCCAAAAAAAAAAAAAAAAAAAAACCAAGTCTTACTTTGATGATAGACAAAGATCATTGTCACCAGACTGGAAAACACGTTTTAGAGAATCCTTAAAAACAGAATGGCCAAAACTTTCTGCAAGCACAACGAGGCCTCCTGTTTTTTCAACTGCCACTTTAAGTTCAGCAATTCCCACCTAGAAAATGATAATCAATCATGTTAAAAAAACATTGGCTCATCTGACAGTCTACTAGAACAACACATGAAGATAAAACTAGCACATGCAGCTGTGGTTGATTAAATATTTAGCAACAGACAGCAACTTAAACTGTCAGCCATATGACCAAGCCCAACTATTGGAACACATATAACAGCATATTCAAAACTGAAATCAGAAGATTAGCCTGAAAGCTAAACCATGCCCAATGTTCATTAGCGAACTGCAGAACAACTTAAATACTATAAAAGTAGAGCAAATTTGTTCACTCTTCAGTAAAATAAATAGTACAACACTATGAGGCCATCATATGTCGTTGGTTCAGGATGATGGGAGGAGTGAAATAGTGAGTAGTTACACTATATTAAAAACTTGACTAGAAGTCAGAAGCAGTCAATCTAGCTTATCACTTTGCCTGTTGTTCCAAGTTGTTATTGACAATTTATCCAGTCAATCTTCCTATACAAATGCTCAAGCAAGCAATTCATAAGCTTGCTAAGCATCATATATCACAAAAAAATTGTAGCCCAGAAGGACATCTTGTTAATTTTGATTAAGTAAGCAAGCAAAGCAAGGTCAATATCACCTTGAACCAGGTTGCTAGTTCAATATGGAACTAATAAAGTGCAATTTGAGCTGAGGATTAACCCTTTAAAACTCGTATCTGTAACGATGGATGTTACCCCTTTGTTTGCTAGATTCTCTCAATATACATTCTTACAAGTGTGTAGTGTTTGTGTATTTGTATGTTCTCAGGAATTACCTAAATGCACCATTAATTCCCCATAATTTTCAAACACTTAAAACCAGGCCCCTTCATAGAATCATGAATATATCTATAGCTGGTCCGACAGCATACAATTCAAACACAAAAGTTCTAAAGACCACACACTATCATCCACTAAGGAACACCTTTTAGTAAAGTGATAAACAGTATGACTAAGAAGATGCAAGGAATATATTACCTGGTCAAGGGCACAAGCAAATACATCGAGTACATGCCCCTGATGTACGAGTTGCTTTGAAAGTCCTTCATAGAACTTGACAGCTTTATGAAAATGTGGGGCAGCATCTTTATCCAGGTCCTTGTGAGACCGTATGGGTTCAGAAAAAATTTTCGAGACAATCTGCGGAATTTGGCATACATAATAAACAGCTGTGCAGAACATTATCAAGCATTTAAAGGCCTTGTATAAAATTTAACCAAAAGACATTTAGAATCTCCAAGACAAGATGATCAGAGCAACTAACTTCATCAAAAAAAATTAGTCCACTAACTTCATCTACATTCTCCATGACAGTTTGGTGATGCAAGGTAAGACTTTTTCCCTTGAGAGACTAGAGGAGGGGACGAAAACTCCATGCCTCCAGAAAATCCCGAGGCAACATGAACTAGTTCCAGCATCAATGGATAAGGCAAATAGTTGTCATAAAGAGATGGAGTGATCAGCTCTTTTGAGTTGGTTCCTAGAAAAGCCAAAGAAAAAGGGGGGATGATAGGAAAGTCTTTTTATGATTGTAGTTTCTACGACCCAATAAACAGCAACCTGCACTATTACTGATTCATAATTAGCTCCTCTAGGAACAGTCTAATTTACCTTTCTCAATACGTCATAAACAACCCAACTATATGCAGACTAAAAGCAATGGTAAAGACTGAATTATAATGATGCTGATGCAGGATAACCTTGAGAAGTGAAGGTTCAATAAGAATGCGAAAAGAAGATCAAAGGACAAGAGGAAAAAGGATGAAAATGCACAAAAAGTATGTGGAACAGATATATTGGAGAAGAGGAAGAGTAGAAAATAAATTAGGAAAAATGCTCTACATATTTGCTCCTACTCTAAGAAGCACGAACATTCTTAAGAAGGTGACTTATTTGTGTAGGACACCGACACTCTCGGACACCTGTCCAATACTTTTTTATCCGTGTCCATTTGACACATGACTATCTTATACTATGGGAAGGAAAACAATGGTTTAGACTAGTCATTTTGAACTTGTACAGTATACTTGCTAAAGAAGCGAAATTGAGAAGGTGACGACAACCATTAATTATGTATGTTCGATACTCGCTGAACAAAAAAGCTGGTGATTATTGACTACTATGATCCTTTAGTCAAAAACTTCACATTAGATGACGAAACATAAGATTTACTTGTCGTGAACACTGAATGTTTTATAAATAGTGCTATCATTATATCTATACTTGTTATAAATTATATAATTTGCACATTGAACATAATTATTTGTAACATGTCCATGTCTTATTTTTTGAGAAATATTGTGTCAAAGTGTTAGTGTCAAGTCATATCTGTGTCCCGTGTCCGTATCGTGATTCTTAGCTCCTACCAGTTGTACAATCATTTAGTATGGGCAGAAAATCTGGCTGTTTCCATTCTCTTTTGGCTTTATAGTGCTTTTTGCTCATGCTAGGTGGGGTTGGGTATTGCCATCCTACAGCCCTCCCTCATTTTTTTTTTTTTTTTTTTTTGGGGGGGGGGGGGGGGGGAGTGTACCCTGCATTTCCATATAGACGTGTCTTTAGTACATAAGGTTCACCTTTCTTGGGTTTTTCTGGGGGCAGATCTAGTGGTCATGTTAGAGACTCTTTAGGAGAGTTAAAACACCTAAAAGGATATTCAAATGTTCACATTAGTGGATTCAATCCATGTTGATCATCATAATGGGTAACTATATACAAAAGTTCTGTGTTTACTACAGTAGCAAGGAATCAGCAAATGGATAATCTGAGCCTAAGGGTGACTGTACATATTGTGACAATGTATAGGCTTGTATTTTGACAACATTATTGGGAAAAAAATGCAGATAATAATTCACTTAACTGTTTTTTATAGTCTACAAGTATCATCTTTTATAGGTATTAGAGTTAAGCAAATTTTTTCACAGGGTTGACAGCTTCAATAATTATTGTTAATATCTATCAAAGAATGAAAATGGTCATATAGATACACATAAACTGGATTCATTCAACTAAAAACAGAATTCCTTGACCAAAAAAAAAAAAAAACCTAAAAACAGAATTCAAGATTGCATCAAGACTTACAGCGCCAGGCCCTTCCGTTGATGGTCCACCTAAAAATGCCATAATTCTAGCCCCAGAACCTGGAACACACACTCCCAACAAATGTGCAGCCACACTCAATGCAGTGCCAGTGCACCTACCTGCCCGCTGATCTGGTGGCACAGGCCAAGGATCTTTTGGAAGCTCTTCCAATACCTTACGAACAAAAAATCCCAAACGAGAAAAATGTAGTAGCAGATTAGGCACATTGAGCTCCCAATTACTTGAAATATCACATCACATGGTCTCATTGTGTACTTGAACCACAAAAAAAGATCATATAGGAGATAAAAAAAGCATTATCATATGTTTGTGTTTCAGGTAGATGCATACACAATTCAACAAATTCAAGGTCAAGGGTCATACTGAATTGAGCACAAACTCGCATTCAGAAGCAGGCAACAAGAACCTCGAAATACTCTCATGCGAGAGCCCATCCCTAACCCCTGCAATAACCCCTGCCGTAGGCTTTGGCTTCTTTGCAAAAAAACCCATCTGCTCCAACACCAGATCTTTGGTCACCTCCTTCGACCCCTTAAACACATAAACCTTGGGAATCTGCCCAAATCCCAACTCATGAACGTGCACATATGTCCCGAACGTTATCAACCCAATCAACGAATTCTCTGGCACCATCCCAACTGTCTGCAACAAAGAAATACTAAATCAACAAAAAACCAATGTACTGTGATCCAGAAAAATATAGACTACTCAACTGAAAATTGATTAAACATTATAAAAATTGGACAAAATATATGAACATATATGAAGGATTTTATTAAGATCAAAAAGAACAACAACATAATTTATAATGGTGAGAAATGGGCAAATCAATCTTATGCGATTTTATGATACCCAAATTCTAGATGCACAGATACATGCAGATGAACCCATAAAGGTAAATTACAAATGTGATTATTATTAATTCCACGCCTGCAACAAAGCCTACGCCAAATACCCAATTTCCTGAACAATGCTAATTATAGAAACCAAATTATCTATCAAGATTCCATTAATATCGATATCCAAAGTTCATGCATGTACCAAAGATCCAAAAACCCAAGATGAACGTATACTATATATGGAGATTCAAACATAAATATCCCCATATCACAACACTGTTCAACTATTAATTCCACTCTTGCAACAAACCAATTTCAGAAGCCCGATGGATTCATATATAAAGATCACAAAGACATCAATATTTCCAAGTAAAAATTTGAATTAGCAAATTCTTGCATGTAACAAAGCTGAAAAATCTGGTGTGGAAAAGAGACTAAACGTAAAGACTAATGAAACCCACACCTGCATTAGTGCCGATTTCAAGTACCCAATTTCCTCTTCAATCACACACGTATCAACAACAAAGAAAAACACAGGTGGAGTCGTCGATTTCTCAGTAGGAGACTCATACTCAATCGTGGTGTACTGAGGAAATAGCTCAGCAGGAAGATTAGTCTCGGAAATAGAGTGGTAGTGTTGGGGGAAGTGGTTGCGATGAAGACAAAAAGAACAGATCCAGATCTTGGTGGAAAAATCGACGATCGAAAATGGGTTTAGCACCGATCGGCAGTTCCGGCACCGTAGAGGAGCGTAAGGGAGGACTGGCATCGTTGGGAAAGGCTTGAGTGGGGTGTAGATGGCGGAGATCGGTATTATACACTGTCCCGATTCTGCTTTTGTGCCTGGTAGAACGTTCCATGGCATTCGCACGGCGTCTTGGGATTCTAAGTCCAAGAATTCTGCCATGGTTTTGGGTTTGTGGCAGTGGGATTGGAGAGAGAGAGTATGCCGGCTGAGGCGGCGGTGGTGGTGATGGTGGGCGTTACAGGTTGAGACTGAGGAGAGTTTAACGAATTACTTTCTCTTAAAAGACACCGAATATATATTTTTGTTTTTTCAAATTTCTCCAATTAACCGATAGTAATGTGAGCATATTTGGTAAGTCGGAAAGAATTAATTAAATTGTGAATTCTGTGAAAGGTGTGAAATAAAATTTGAGTTTCGGAATTTATAGGATAAATGAATTTCAGAAATCATAAATAAAAAAAGAATACTAATCATAATAATTCAAACAAAAGGAATGCTAATGGGGAAGAATCAATGATTTACTCTTTTCAAAAAAATTAAAGATTAAACATATTGCATATTACCCATATTTCAAATTCATTAACTGATTATCATAGATTATTACCATAAGTTATTCAATTTTTGATTCATATCGATAGATATTTTTTGTTCGTAACATCATAAATAATATAGTTGAAATCGATAGTAATCAAAGCACAATTCAACGTTAATTTCATCTATAAATAATTTATTTTTCTCTCTCTCTTCCTTATCTTCTCTTTCTATCTTCTTTCTTATGGTTATTATAAGTGAGAGGTGGTTGAATTTATAGGCTAGGACAAGTAGGAGGTATCTTATTACATGATTTGAATACCTCTTTGCTTAACACATTGCATCATGTGTCATCTTACATGGCTAAGCTCCTTGATCACTTAGACACGTAGCATTGGAGATGTCATTTTGCATGACTTATAAAATTAAACATGTATTAAACTAAAAGTCTAAACTCGCCATAATGGATACTCTGTCAACATGTACTTACTCTGTAAGAAACTTTTAATTTTTTGGTAGAATATCCTCTGAAAATATGATGCGATAAATATATCAACCTGTTTATAATCATAATCAAATCATTTCTTTTCACACTGAAATCCAACTATATACCAATTACCACAACACATACGACTATCAAAGCATGTCATATGTACACTTAAAAAATTGAATTAAACCCATAAAATTTTTCAATCACATACTACTTTAATCACAAAACAGAATGACATAAACTACTTATAAACCAAACCATATGCATTCTGATTACCAAAAAAAAATTATAATATTAACCATCGTTATGCCTANGAATGACATAAACTACTTATAAACCAAACCATATGCATTCTGATTACCAAAAAAAAATTATAATATTAACCATCGTTATGCCTAAACATGACTATTTACCAATTGCTTAAGGCATCAAAACAATAATAACCATTATTCTGCACGTCATAAACACATAGTTGTCCCTAAACATAAATAAGATTAAAGAGTGACAAAAAAACATCTGCACGTCATTGTAAAATAGGTTATTTTTTAATCTAGTTTATCAAAATGGGTCATTTATCTGCACGTCATTGTAAATACTCTCTCTCCATCACAACCTTGAATGTCATCGTATCAATCCAAATCCGCATCTTCCAAGTGAGGGAATGTACAACAATCTAGCATTTACAAAAACAGTTAAATTTAGTACACGACAGGAATTTTAAAATTGTAAACTTGAAAATAAAAATTAAACTATAAAAAATGAGTTTAGTTACCTTGTTCAAAANAAATTGTAAACTTGAAAATAAAAATTAAACTATAAAAAATGAGTTTAGTTACCTTGTTCAAAGAACCCCATCGAAAAAGATTGGTTGCATTTAGTTTTTTTATCTCCTACACTTCTTCATCCCAATTCTATAGATGAAATAACAAAAATAAAATGTTTGATCAATAAAATAACATTGTTAAAATGTTTGCAATCAACAGAAATAAAATTGTAAAAGATTTATACCATTTCGTATGTGTAGAATACGGAACATTATAACAAAAAGATGCGTGAAAATAAAGTTAAATAATTATGTGAATATTTTGTGGTGGCAAAAAAATAGAAGAGGTTTCAACTCACATGATTTACAAAAATATTGAGATCTTTCATTTTTCAATGTTGTGAGTTTGCAGATGTGGTATATTATGATGGCTAAAAATATAAAANGTTTCAACTCACATGATTTACAAAAATATTGAGATCTTTCATTTTTCAATGTTGTGAGTTTGCAGAGGTGGTATATTATGATGGCTAAAAATATAAAAAATAAAGTAAATCAAAAAATTAGAANATAAATGAATTTCAGAAATCATAAATAAAAAAAGAATACTAATCATAATAATTCAAACAAAAGGAATGCTAATGGGGAAGAATCAATGATTTACTCTTTTCAAAAAAATTAAAGATTAAACATATTGCATATTACCCATATTTCAAATTCATTAACTGATTATCATAGATTATTACCATAAGTTATTCAATTTTTGATTCATATCGATAGATATTTTTTGTTCGTAACATCATAAATAATATAGTTGAAATCGATAGTAATCAAAGCACAATTCAACGTTAATTTCATCTATAAATAATTTATTTTTCTCTCTCTCTTCCTTATCTTCTCTTTCTATCTTCTTTCTTATGGTTATTATAAGTGAGAGGTGGTTGAATTTATAGGCTAGGACAAGTAGGAGGTATCTTATTACATGATTTGAATACCTCTTTGCTTAACACATTGCATCATGTGTCATCTTACATGGCTAAGCTCCTTGATCACTTAGACACGTAGCATTGGAGATGTCATAATCATAATCAAATCANATCTTACATGGCTAAGCTCCTTGATCACTTAGACACGTAGCATTGGAGATGTCATAATCATAATCAAATCATTTCTTTTCACACTGAAATCCAACTATATACCAATTACCACAACACAGANAGACACGTAGCATTGGAGATGTCATAATCATAATCAAATCATTTCTTTTCACACTGAAATCCAACTATATACCAATTACCACAACACAGACGACTATCAAAGCATGTCATATGTACACTTAAAAAATTGAATTAAACCCATAAAATTTTTCAATCACATACTACTTTAATCACAAAACTGAATGACATAAACTACTTATAAACCAAACCATATGCATTCTGATTACCAAAAAAAAATTATAATATTAACCATCGTTATGCCTAAACATGACTATTTACCAATTGCTTAAGGCATCAAAACAATAATAACCATTATTCTGCACGTCATAAACACATAGTTGTCCCTAAACATAAATAAGATTAAAGAGTGACAAAAAAACATCTGCACGTCATTGTAAAATAGGTTATTTTTTAATCTAGTTTATCAAAATGGGTCATTTATCTGCACGTCATTGTAAATACTCTCTCTCCATCACAACCTTGAATGTCATCGTATCAATCCAAATCCGCATCTTCCAAGTGAGGGAATGTACAACAATCTAGCATTTACAAAAACAGTTAAATTTAGTACACGACAGGAATTTTAAAATTGTAAACTTGAAAATAAAAATTAAACTATAAAAAATGAGTTTAGTTACCTTGTTCAAAAAACCCCATCGAAAAAGATGGGTTGCATTTAGTTTTTTTATCTCCTACACTTCTTCATCCTAATTCTATAGATGAAATAACAAAAATAAAACGTTTGATCAATAAAATAACATTGTTAAAATGTTTGCAATCAACAGAAATAAAATTGTAAAAGATTTATACCATTTCATATGTGTAGAATACGGAACATTATAACAAAAAGATGCGTGAAAATAAAGTTAAATAATTATGTGAATATTTTGTGGTGGCAAAAAAATAGAAGAGATTTCAACTCACATGATTTACAAAAATATTGAGATCTTTCATTTTTCAATGTTGTGAGTTTGCAGAGGTGGTATATTATGATGGCTAAAAATATAAAAAATAAAGTAAATCAAAAAATTAGAAATATTCGTTAAATACACAATTCATGTTGTTGTAAAATTGCTAAAAACACATCATGAGTTTTCAATGAAATGTCTCAATAAGTGGATTGATAATTCTTATGCTAATGTGTGTACAATGAATATAAATGTGGACCCTTGCCCCGCTATACAGTTGTTTTCTTTATTTATTCCAATGACCAATATTTTATACCAAGGTTTGCTCTATTTTAATGGTGAGGTGTGGCACAAATGGTATTATACAGAATATAGGGTTCACATGTATTATAGGTAACTATGGGAAGATTATATATTTGCCTTGAAAACANTGGCACAAATGGTATTATACAGAATATAGGGTTCACATGTATTCTAGGTAACTATGGGAAGATTATATATTTGCCTTGAAAACATTCCCTTTGTTCATTTGGTGGTATACATAGGTAAGTAATGGTATTGAACATAGTTTGAGATCACTGGAAATAATGCTTTATTATTTGTGACAAACACATCAGCAAAATCGCAAAGGTCAATCTTCATGGCCTTGAGACCTTGTGCATTCCTATTCCCATAATAGAATTTGGGCAGAATACCAAAGACAACCTATGACTGGATAGACTCAAACATCAGGCCACTTTGGAGACCATATAAAATCACAAACTAAACAGTCCCCACACAAAACAAATTCCAAAAAACAACCAAACTTATGAATTAAACAAAATAAAGTAACTTCAACAATATGGATCATTACATAGATTCATAAGTGGATTACTTATCTATGTAATGATCATTACATAGGTTCCTTTAGCTGAATACTGCTCTAGATACACATTCTCTTTGCAACAATTGTGAGCTTTGGGAAAGTAACTCCTGAACAAAGGGAAGAAGTTGAAAAGTGTGGCTTGGCTATATATTCTTGGGACGAATTTTTACTATTGGTAAGCTTTTATTTATCTATTTTTCCACTCTATGATTCTTTAAACGTTTATTTGTTATGTTAATAATAATTAAGTTTTGTTGGATAATGCCCTATATTTTACCTGATGAATCTTATCTTCTCAAAGAAATAAAATTTCCAAGATGTGGAAGTTGTTGAATTTTTTATTATTCTACTGTCATTTCATGGTATATTTGATGAATTTTTTCGTTTTGTCTTCTATTTTCCTTTCTTGGTTGGATTTGTTATCCAACCTTATCGATGTACTTTCCATATTTCTAACATATTATGTTTCCTGTCATAAAAAAAATCGTTTGGTTGATAATTTTAAAAGATTTCAAATTAAGGCACTAACATTTGGTTGTGGTCTGCATACTCCACTAATTATATTGCAATCACAAAATCGTATCTACTTTGATCATCATTTATGTATGTCAATGCTAATCTGGCTAAGGGAAAGCCGCTTGTTGAGGTACTGCCACACCAATAGTAGTGGCTTACCAGGTGGTGCTTTAGGATGCTAATATACTCTTTCCAGATAACCAAGGTTTTCCTTTGGACCACTACTGCCTCATCATGTTCTTCCAGCTATTTACATCGTNATTATATTGCAATCACAAAATCGTATCTACTTTGATCATCATTTATGTATGTCAATGCTAATCTGGCTAAGGGAAAGCCGCTTGTTGAGGTACTGCCACACCAATAGTAGTGGCTTACCAGGTGGTGCTTTAGGATGCTAATATACTCTTTCCAGATAACTAAGGTTTTCCTTTGGACCACTACTGCCTCATCATGTTCTTCCAGCTATTTACATCGTGACCTATTTATGTCACTTTAGGCGTAACAATTAACTCATTTTTGGCCTCAATATTGTGGTACTTTGAAGTAAGTTGTGCTTGAATACAATGTGTTTGTACATGCACACCCCTAAACCGTAAACCCCTAAACAAAAAGAGATGTGGATTATGTGCTAGAACTTGCATCTTAAAAGGCTTTTAGTTTGACTCTGCTATGTGTCAGTTGATACTAAATAAACAAACATATGCTGAGAGAAACAATGACAGAAGTCTTTTTTGACTTTTGTAATGAACAAAATATTTTCATTGTTGGTTTCATGTACAATGGCCTATTTAAGTGTCATTTTTCCCTTATTAATATTTAATCTTGCTAATAAAGCTCCTCTTTGTGATCTATAGTTTCATTTAAATTTTGCACATATTTGTTTTCATACAGGGAGGTAATAAACACTTTGATCTTCCAGTAAAAACGAAAAGCGACATTTGTACAATAATGTATACCAACGGAACAACTGGTGACCCCAAGGGTGTTATGATTTCCAATAATAGCATTGTTACTCTTGTGGGCGGGGTGAGGTGCTTCCTAGAGAGTGTGAATGAAGCTTGGCTTGTTATGAAGTGTTATTTCTTCCAATGATGCAACATATGTAGGGGCAGCTAATTGATTTGTGTTGACATTTATGTCTTCTGATCATAGATTCATAGACATGATCCCTAGATAATATGTCTTCATTTAGAGAATTCAACGTGTTTCACATGCATCCACACGTGTTAAGATGTTTCCTAAGTCATGTAAATAAGCTCCAATTCATTCGAGTTTAAGTCAATTCATTTAAGTGAATAGATAATTTAGCATGGATATCAAATTCTCACTTCAGAACCCAAATTCAACTTTCTCCATCTTAAACACCCCTTAAACATATACACACACATGCCCTCATAAACATGGATAGTCATATATACAAAAAATAGCAATAATAGAGCTCGGATGAAGCAATTCATTACAAATTTGATTCTATAGATTACACAAAGTGGATCAATTACGTACCTGAAACTTTGGAACCTGTATTCAGCTAAAGGAACCTTTTCAGGCCACTTTGGAACCTATATAAAACAATCAAAATCCAAGGAATCTGTATGCAAAAATCAAACAACCCTGTGAGTCATTTAATATCATAGCCTCTATTTCTATGTTCAAGAATTGCAAACAATTTAATATTGACTAAATGTAACTTACCTTGCCATCATATTCTTTCTTGGTTCTGAATGTAGCACTGAGGACTGAGTGCTGGTATCTATTGTGAACCAGAGAAAAAAAACAAACCCAAAAGCTCAATACGTGTGTGTGTGAGAGAGAGAGAGTGTGTGTGTGACTCTGTGTGTGAGCCTCTGTGAGTGAGAGAGAGTTAGTGGTTGTGCTTTTGTGTGCATGCGATCTAGAAGAGAGAGCTTGGGAGGGAGAGCAAAGAGATTGGGACCTGATCAAACCACCATCGCCCAAATCTTATTCTTTCTGCTCCAAATCAAACCACCATCGCCCAAACAAACCCAGAAACCAGATGGCTTTGGGGCTAGGCGCTGATCCTACGTGCGAGAGAGAGAAAAAGAGAGAGGATAGGAGGGTGAAACAAAAAGAGGGGTGGGGACCCGCCCAGTTTAAGTCTGTTTCGGCTTGGATTTGGGGAAATGACCTGCTGCCTGTCCAGGGATTTGGAGAAGTGACTTGCCGCCTGACTCGCCATCTATGTTGCCATGGAGCTGTTGCTTGTCCAGGGATTTGGGGAAGTGACTTACAGCCTGACTCGCCGTCTGTGTTGCCATGGAGCCATTGCTTGTCCAGGGATTTGGAGAAGTGACTCGCTTGAGAGAGAAGATAGAGGACATATGGGTTGCACGAAGCCATTGGTTTGTGTTGGGTTGGGTTGGATGGGATGGTTTTGGGGGGGGGGGGAAATGTATGAGGTATAAAATTCAAGTTTCATCCTATTTTATTAGAGTAATGCTACGTAGACTTAAAAAGTAGACTTAAAAACTAGACTTGATAATCTCAACCATTGAATAGGTAGTGGATCTCAATAAATGCTGAGATCTACAGTGAAATCAATGGTTGAAATTATCAAGTCTAGTTTTTAAGTCTATTTTTTAAGTTCATGTAGCATTACTCCTTTTATTATATAGATTAGTTATTACATGTGTCTGAAGACACATAATAATAAAAAAAATAGTCAACAATAAATATATTTGTATTCATACCAAAAATTAAATCATAAATATAAAAGAGAGAAAAAAAATTTAACCCCCAGTTGTAATAAGGGTGAGCAATGGTAGTGATGGTGATGGTAGAAAACGGTGATGGTGTGGTGGGTGGCGACGATCGTAGTGATGATGACAGTCGTGGGTAGCAACGGTGATAATGGTAATTGGTTTTGGGTGACAATGTTGGTAGTGGTAGTCCTGGGGTGACGACGGTGATGGTGGTTGGTAATAATGGTGGTGGGCGAGGACGGGTTCATCTAAGCGATAGTGTGATGAGTAGTGGCTAATGACGGTGGTGGTGGGTGTGGATGACAGTGAATAATGGGCAATGACGGTGGCAACAATGGTGGTGGTGGGGTGAAAGCGGTGACGAATGGTGTTAGGGGTGATGGTGGGGCAGTGGGAGTGCTGGTGGTAGGGGTAATGGTGGGATAGCGGTAGTAGTAGGGTGGCAGCATCGGTAGTGGTGGTGGTGGGACAGTGGTAGAGGTAATGACAGTGGCAGTGACATTTGTTGTGGTAAAGGTGGTGGTGGGATGGCGGCAACGGTGATGATGGTGGTGGTAGTGGGGGTGGGGCAATGGGGGTGGGTGTGATAATGGTGGGGGTAATTATGGTGGGGGTAGTGGTGATGGTGGAATGGTTTCAAACACTATTTTTTTTAAAGTATTTATGAGAAATTATAAAATACTTTTAAAAAGTCATAAAAACACACTCTTAGGAACTTATTCCCTATTAAATTTTAGATGTCAATATTAGCCGTCGGATTAACTTTAAAATAAAATTTAAAGAGATCTTCACCGCGAAAAATAAAAATTATTTTATTTATCTTTTAAGATTTGAATTGTATTGTACTTTATATATATATATATATATATATGTTGTTGTGCAATTGAAACCGCTACAAGAATGATGGAGTTTGTAGTGCGTTCTAGTGTAGCCGTGCGTGGTTCAGTGTGCTCTAAGTATAAAGAATAACTATGATATCAATTGAGTAATGGGAAGCAAGCCGAGCTAGTCCTTGAAAATGCTATAAGTTGGGGCAACATTATACTACCTACGGGTTCCTCAACCTAGTAGGATTCCAAATCTCGAGACTTGAAAAGGGGTGCTCTCGCCCAGAAAGAGAAATAATAAGCGAAAAAGTACTATTATCGGGGCCACAAATAATATTTGATCGAAAACGCCCCGGACTTTGCATAACTTTTATATATATATATATATGTGTGTGTGTGTGTTGTTGTGCAATTGATACATGTAGCAAGCCATTACTTAACCATACACATTTTTTTTTGTTGTGCTTGTTATGTATTTTTCCTTAGATTCTTGCACATTTTACTTAACAAGGGTTCTATGACACTAAAATTTACTCTTGCTACATATGCTTGGCTACACCTTTCTTAACCATACTATAATAACCTTAGACCCTTCAATTTCATCCTAATAATATTAAAATTATAAATCCTTATTTTATAAAAATTCAGAATGTTACGTTGATTCTCGGGTTCAACATATAAGGTGACTGATCCATTGAAAGGGCGGTAGAATTTTTTTTTTAAGAAAAATATTATTTATATTTAATTTGGGTATTTTATTAATTAAGTTAAAAGTGGATTCACAAATAATATTGAAACTCACAAATAATCACGTGACTATGATAAATTAAGTCCTCAAAAATAAATCTCTAAATTAGTTCCTGATATAAAGTTAGTGTTAAAGGCATAGGACGCGATTAATTAAACAAATCAGTTAGAGATTCACAGTTTTAGAAATGCTGATATTTCAACACAAAAAATAAATAAATAAACAAAAAAAAAATGACCAACATATTTTCTTTAGTGTGGTGCTATTCAAACCCAATATTTTTTATTCAATCCATCATGAATATTCATCACTATAAATCCCAACATTATCTACTCAAACAAACACTTATATGGACAAAAAAAAAATATAATTAAAATCAATATCCCTCTCAAAACCACCTTAATCTCCTCTTTATTTCAAACACATCACACATCCCCTTGGCCTCCATTCTTCCTAATGCTCAAACCCTCGCGTCTTCTTCCCTTCAAATGGCCATGATGGTGTTTCTCACCAAACTTCACCCTCCCAGTATCTTTAAACCTCTGCTTCTCCACTGGATCAATCACACACTCTGGGGGTGGTGTAGGGTACCTCAAGCCATCATAACAATATGAGTAGTACATATTTCTCAGCCTGAACTTCTTCATGGCCATTCGCTGCTTCGGCGTTATGTCGGTGAAGCCAATGCTTTCCGGGCGGTCGTGGGGCTTAGAGCAGGTGGTGGTTAACACATCTTGGATAGGGTCTAGTGCACATCCATTGAGGACAAGGTCAGTGAATTCTGCTACAAATGGAGCAAACTTGTAGTTGACCTTGTATTTGCCACCTGAAGTGGCCCAATTTGAGGCATCCCAAATAGTGGCATACAAAGACATGGGCTTTGATGGGTAGTCTCCACCCATTTCTGGGCTATGGACTATGTGTCGTATTGGAATATCATCTATGTAAAAGCTGCACGAGACAGAAAACAAGACAAAAATTTGAGAAATTAGTACCTAAAATTTTATGATGTCCAAACATATGTGGATTAGGTAGTGTATCATTTATTTTTTGGTTCAATACTCAGGATTGTTCGGATTAACTTATGTGTATATTGACTAATCCTTCTCCGATCCGGTCAAAAGACAGGTCATTTACGTCAAAACTAAGGTATTTATGAGAGATAAATTCCTCATGACCTGATTTCATGAAGCTTATAAAATTTAAATTCAGAACGTCTGAATTTACAGTTCGTCTCTGTTATCACTTAAACTACCCTTAGAGATGGTAGTGTATCATTTGTCCCCACAATTTGAATATGTTTTGGTAGAGACTACCAAAGTTTTGATTAGTTTTGTTTTCATACTGTTGATAATTTATGTTTTTTCACAGTCAAAAATTATTTTAATCACGTATTTTTGGGACTTGTAATCAACTCTAGATACACCCGACTAACAACGTTAACATGCCCTGACACAAACCATACCGGAAAGTAACTAAAATAAGTCACTCGAGTAATAAATGGGTTGTTTATTTAGTATCGAAGGGAAAAAATACATGATTTTCTTTCTATATTTCTTGATTAAGCATGTATATATGAATTATTGTATAATTGAATTTTTTTTAATAAATTTTACTAATACTTGAGTCAAATAGATTTTTAATCATGGGAGATAGAGGTGATAATTTTTGATACGAATCAGCAAACACAGGGACTCAAAGTCGGTCGGGCTAGTTGCAGGCTGGTTAAACAGGACAGAGCCAACAGGAATACAATCAAATGCTTTGCTACTGAGCTTCGGAACCTACACCAAGCAAGCACAAACAAATGAGTTCAACATACTTGATAGATAAAAATATGATCCACAGGCATGGACTGAGTAGTAGTATCATGCTTTCTCATTAGTGGAGCTCATGCCATACAAATGTAAACTAAAATTATGAACTCAAAATTTGTGTGTTTCTATACACGTAAGACATATCAATAAGATCCTATCCAAAATATTTTTTGCCAATGAAAACTAATGGGTATGACTCTCCACAAGATAAAGGCATGGCATATAAACACGTTTGTGTGGAAAATCCTATTCGAGAAGCAACCTGCCGAAGCTGCCAATTATAACAAATTCTATTTGCCAATGCTTTAATGTAAATGTGGTAGTTTTGTATCGCTGCAATGCCGGCATCAGATGTTGAAGGCCAAAAAGATCTAGCATCATAAACAAATAAGGCACTGCTAGTTTTTTTCTAGCACATGCTTCCCCCTCGTGAATTAGATATCAGAGTAAATCAGAACTAACAGAAATGATTACAGTGACACCGCCAAGAATGAAGTGGAGTGGTATTTCCCAAAATAAAATAAAAAAACCTTTATCCATGATTTAGGGACAGGTGGCGGCATCAGTAGGACGAATTCCCTTTGAAACGTAAATCTACAAATTTTTAAGGTACTCTTTTCTTGGTGCGCTCTTGAGGCCATTCCCCCAGTTTTATTATCAACATTGCTCCGAAGAAAGTCCTTTACTGATGAATTCTTTAACATAGGAGATAAAAATTCAGCAAGCGTAGAAGATCTGTGATGCATACCTTTCAAGGACAGTTCAAGACGGTATGTTCCCAAGATGAGTTGAATGCACCTATGGTCCCTTGATTCTACTCCTGGCCCCCTTCTAATGAACAGAAGGGTCATGTGGATGACAAAACCTCTGTTCCCTCCCCATTGGATGGATATCTGATACACTTGATGCTTAACTATGTGAGACTTCCAGGTGGATTTGTAGGCCACAAGTTCATAGAATCAGCACANCAAGATAAAGGCATGGCATATAAACACGTTTGTGTGGAAAATCCTATTCGAGAAGCAACCTGCCGAAGCTGCCAATTATAACAAATTCTATTTGCCAATGCTTTAATGTAAATGTGGTAGTTTTGTATCGCTGCAATGCCGGCATCAGATGTTGAAGGCCAAAAAGATCTAGCATCATAAACAAATAAGGCACTGCTAGTTTTTTTCTAGCACATGCTTCCCCCTCGTGAATTAGATATCAGAGTAAATCAGAACTAACAGAAATGATTACAGTGACACCGCCAAGAATGAAGTGGAGTGGTATTTCCCAAAATAAAATAAAAAAACCTTTATCCATGATTTAGGGACAGGTGGCGGCATCAGTAGGACGAATTCCCTTTGAAACGTAAATCTACAAATTTTTAAGGTACTCTTTTCTTGGTGCGCTCTTGAGGCCATTCCCCCAGTTTTATTATCAACATTGCTCCGAAGAAAGTCCTTTACTGATGAATTCTTTAACATAGGAGATAAAAATTCAGCAAGCGTAGAAGATCTGTGATGCATACCTTTCAAGGACAGTTCAAGACGGTATGTTCCCAAGATGAGTTGAATGCACCTATGGTCCCTTGATGCTACTCCTGGCCCCCTTCTAATGAACAGAAGGGTCATGTGGATGACAAAACCTCTGTTCCCTCCCCATTGGATGGATATCTGATACACTTGATGCTTAACTATGTGAGACTTCCAGGTGGATTTGTAGGCCACAAGTTCATAGAATCAGCACAGCATACCAAAATTGTGGACATAAGATATTGGAGAATATTGGCTTTCTTGTTTACATTGTAATTTCTACTCCAACCTCAATGCAGTGCACAAAATCATCTCTGCAACCAACGAAAATCCTGCCACCAATCATCACAGGGGAAGAGAATATGTCTCCTTGGAGGTCCAACCTAGCAAATTCCTGCACCACATCTTTCCCCAGCAGTTTGGCCTCTCCAACAGCATCCAGGTTGATTCGAAGCAAATGGATACTCCCAGAACTGGCAGTGACACAGATTAACCTGGAAACAAAGCGGTTGGATGTCTAAAAGACTGATATTTCAGATCATCTGATCCTTTTAGTGAAGTATCTTTACCTGTCTGACAGATGGGAGACATCAGATATCAACTGCAAGTTCTCATCGACATAAGCAGATGAAGTAATTGGATCTCCAACATTGTGTTCCCAAAGGAGATCCCCACTTTCCTAAAACAAGTAAAATGGCAATCGATGTGCAATGAGGTCATCAAAACATACATAGATTATGCAACTTCATTGGAAAATACTTGGAGTATACTCCCACCATTAAAAACCTCCAGACATATGAGACCAACATCTGCAACCCTAATCCTGATTGTCTTCAATGTAGAAATTGGTTAATGAGCTCAATTGTAAAGACATAATGAGCCCCATCTCAGCAACAAAATCTATTTTCATAGCAAAAGGAGCTTCCCAAAAAGGGATAGATTCAAACTAGTAAGCTTTTTCAGCAAAAGAAAAGGGTACAAAGCAAAGAATTACGAGGGTTATATAAACATCAACAGGAAAGATGTGCCTATCCATAAAATACTTAACAAGTGTTGGAAGAAGAATGAAAAACTCCAGCGCAACCCAATCAAACACCCCTGTCTCTCACCCACTCCCACCTACCCACCCAAATCCTCCCCAAAATGAATAAACAAATAGATCAATACTTAAGTAAATTCAAAATATACGGTCTTCTTGTATAAGGTGGCAAAGATGCCACGAACCAAGGGAGTGCAATCCTGCCCAGTCCACCAACATCTTACTCATCCTAAAGTGACGTTGAATTTCACTTAAGTTGCTTCCTATAAATTTTCTAATAGGGAATAAAGCTTGGCTAAATGCAACATTATACCTGAAAAATCGCCCCAATTCCTACCCTAATAGGACTATTCAGAGTGCCTCTTAAAACTGACTCCCCAGTTCCCCAAAGATTGAAGGGAAGACCGAAGAAGTCCCCACAGAGTAAGGACAGCTTAACATACAAGCAAGAGGAACTCTAAGCTCTGAAATTACTGAATTTTAAGGGAGGGATCNTCTTAAAACTGACTCCCCAGTTCCCCAAAGATTGAAGGGAAGACCGAAGAAGTCCCTACAGAGTAAGGACAGCTTAACATACAAGCAAGAGGAACTCTAAGCTCTGAAATTACTGAATTTTAAGGGAGGGATCCTTTTAAGTTCTTCTGTCAGGCATGCCCAAACAAAAGTGACAAACTAGACTTCACCACTGTAATCTTTTCATCAGCTGAAATCCCTTTAAAAATCATAAAATGCTTATCATGGTTTGGTCGTGATATCACAGTATCAAGAATTTTAGCTCTATTGCCCCTTGCCAGCATCACGAAATGGAGTTTCGGGCAGAACCAAGTTACTACATGCTAACTGATAAATTCTATAATGGAAAACAGAGATAACTAAGCCGTAAACAAAATGATGGCTAGATATTTGCTGCTCCTTTTGAACAAAACATTAAAGGATAAGATCTCTATTAGACCATCTAGCCCAAAAATCTCATCGGTCTGACTTCCAATTGAGTGACAAACCAAGCTAAGGCCTTGACTTTCAGAGCCACATGAGTCTAGCTGCATGGAAAGGGAAGGTTTGAAACTTTGCAGTGAAAGAACAATGGGAATGACCTTCCAGGATACAAATACTAGCATCCCAACCTCACTATCTGAGCAGAGATAGACATGAGTAAGGAAGTCAAATCGGAGAAGATAAAGCTAGTTAGGCTCATGATCATTGAGTTAAAGATACTGAACTCTACAATGCAGAATGTAGCAAATGACAAGTAAAAATACAGAACCTCTCATTCTTAAATCAAGAACGTTTTAGATCTTACCAATTCAAACGAATAGATACTTCCATCTCTGGAACATATGAGCACCTGTAGAAGAATAAAGATTAAATCAATGAACACTCCACATAGCCGAACATTGTGACCCAATTCATAAACTATCCATTTTTTTATGAACTTGTATACTGAAAGTCTTGGCAAATATACAGTCTTCATAGAAAAATAAAGTTATTGAAGAGAAACTCTAATCATTATAAAAATTCCCAGCAGTTGTACATGGCACGATCGTCAGACTCAAAAAAAACTGTGGTTACCCTCGCTGTAGTTTAAATTTTCTGCCTTGTAATAGATTAGATGCGCCATGAATTTGGGAGGAGAAATTCACCTGAGAAGCTAGTGTACGAGATATGCAGGGTCCAGCAAATATCGGGCCACCAGTTTTTCCCTGAACCCCCAAAAAATAATAAGATATAGGACTGAAATATCCATTCAAGGTACCAAATATGAGAGACATGTAAGCATAGAAGACTGATTTAATAAGAAACTCTTATAACATGTGTAATTACACCAAGAAGATTGGACAAGTAAAGACTTAGTACAACAGAAGCCCAACTGTGTTTCTCCATATGTGTGGCAAAAAATAAAACAGCCGAGTAATTTCCTACAGGGAACATACATAGGGGAATTTCCTTCAGGATTAAGTATTTCTTAACTGCAATTGATAGTGAACTAAACCAAGAGAAAAGGTATATTTCCTTCAGGATTAAGTATGTCCCAACTGCAATTGATAATGAACTAAACCAAGAGAAAAGGTATCACATCCAGCAAACAAATTTTCATCTGCAACCGCAGGTACTATGAATTACTGGGTTTCCTCATAAGATTCCAGATAATGACGAATGCCTGAAAATGTAACCAAGTTGCTACTTTATTTTCTACATATTTCCTGGAATCTTTAACAAATTGCCAGTTGAGTCAGTCACTAACGTTTACAGCGGATTTCATCATGCAGAAATAAGCTCACCAAATCCAATGACAAAGTACCCAAACTTCACAGATAGCCCAGGTATTTTACCTATCAATGGAAAATATATTTTGTTGCAAAAATGGCTACAATGGAGTGCAAATTTTGGCATTCCCTAATTTCATGTGTAATTTGGCAAACTTCAAGATGCCCAATTTTACTATGTTGAACCATGTAAAGAAAGTTTGTATCCCATATCAAATGATTATTATTAAGACCACCCAAGGTTAGTCTATATAGTTAAGGCACCTCTCTACTTATTGTCAATTGGATTTGAGTGGGCTACTGTAACACAATATCACTATCACATTTGCGCCCTGGATGACCAATGAGCAAAATTTATTGCCCACTTAAATTTCCAAAGCATGTAAACTTTTTTATTAGCCTCACATGTGAACTGAAGTCCCCTGTGACGGATGGTGTAAAGTGTATCTCACAAAAATGTGATTAAGGAATCTCTCCACTCATTGTAAATTGGTTTTGAGATGGACAACAAACTAGAGTTGCTTACCGAAGCATTTCTGTACAAAGATATATCTTTTTGGAGAAATTTCAGATCGCCATAATTCAACAACTTTGCACTTCCATGACTCTACAATTGGCTAGCGAACAATATATAGCCACTCATTACCATTTCTTTCTTCCAAGATTTACATGTCCCCAAGTTTTGAAACTAATTACCAAACAAAATATAGCAAGCACTAAATATGCAAGACAATGTATTTGTACCCTCCAAATAATGGATCCACTGGTATCCACTGCAAGTACATGCCCATCCACCAAGCAACAGATGACTGCAAAACCACACCAAATAAAGTGGAGAAATACAGTTGGCAACTGACATACACATAAAAGCACAAAAAACACACCTGAACAGAAACATGCTACAAAATTTCAAGATACATGGATTTCAACTGCGAAAAAACTTCAACAGAATTCCATAATGGAAATAAATAGACTGCTATCTCAGGGGCACCATGAAAATTGAGGACCATTTGGTCTTGGACCAATAAAGAGTTGTAAAGATCCCCATCAAATTCTCTGGGATATCCATGTAAAAGTCCATTTTTATAGCTTTGCTATTTGGACGTCCTTACATGGAATCTTCCACTGATCACAGAGAATGAGAACAAAGGTAAATAGTAAATGACTACATGCGTACCATTGCCATTACGTGAATTGATGGAAATAGACCCAAAGATGGGTGCTCCAAACTCTTGCAGCCACAATTTACTAAATGGCATAGCCTGCATCAAAAAGCATAGCTTATGGCTTTGCAAGTCTGAAATGAGGAAGATACAAACAAAATGAAGTAAATATGTAATTCTATTTTTCTCCACAAGGGACGGTAAAGATGGTGACCCAGATGAAAATTCCTGCTCAAACACTTAACAAAACAAATCAATTTTCCCTCTTTTTCTGATAGAAAGTATCCCTGCTGCTTTAGTTAACATTGAGGTATCGTTAAGACAATGAAAATTAATTGCTGAAAAACTAAATAAGATTGACACATATGTTATCACTACAGATGAAGTAAGCATGAAGAATAAGCAATGACTCACTGTACTTACAAGAAACCTAGAAATAAAGGAAAGAGAGGCAAAAGCTATGCCAATCATGTTATTCTCCAACTTTGTCTTTGTTAAAATTTGTATAAAGAGAAATGTGACTAAATACATGATGCCCAGCAGGCTCATCTTTCAACTCCACACATGGTAAGGAATGTGTCACAGTTGTTAGAGTCATAGTTGTTAATATCGTACAATACACAATACGATACATACGATATATTGCAATACATAAAGAAAACGATACATATCACTTAAGTGTATTCATTTGCATCGTATCATGCGATACACGATACGATACACCCAATATACCATATGATATGTACAAGCTATCTGATATGGGAAGAAACAAATTAAAGAAAATTCCTTTGAATTTTAACTAGAAAACGATGTACTTTCACTTGAAAGTAATTTTTTTAATCACTAGGTAATAAAACGATGTCGTTTTACCATCTACAGTTTTTAAGAAATAAAAGTCGTCTTTTTTATTCGTTTCATAGCAAGAACAAATAGTTTGATTGTTAAAAGTGGCCTCCTTTAACTACTTTAGATGTTCAAACTATAATTCTCTAAATTTTAATATTAATGAATTATGTTAGAAATTTCAATACTTAGATTGTTAATTTTTTTTTTGTTTTGGTCCTTGAAGTCTCTTTAACTTGTTTTATGTGAGAAATTTGTGGGGCAATGAAATGTTATTATGACATTTTGCCATAGGTATATGCATTTTTTAATATCTTTTATAAAACTACACATATCTTATGATACACAATACATTATGATACACGATACACTATTTTTTAAAAACGATACACCTTCCGATACCCTTTTTGACAACCTTGGTTAGAGCATCCAACTCAAAACCAACACTAATGCTGACCAAACAATGAGAATCTTTCTGAATCGACCTTTTGTCCACTTTTTCTTTTTTCGCTGGGAAACAGCAGACTGCCTTGCAAGTCATTATTGGAGTTTCGTTACCTTTCTTCATAATCATACAATCTATGCGCCTTTGAAGCCAGTAATATGATTTTCTATGAAAGCAGCAATTGCTGCATTTCTAAGATTCCCTAGGGAAGCTTGGCTTAGGGAATCTATGCCATATAGCACAAGAAGACTCAAAGGTAGTGATTGCTTGTACTGGAGCTTAATGTATAACGTTTTGGTGCATTGCTTCTTAGCTGCGAGAAATCAGCAATTCACCCCTGGTGGTCTTGAATTGAATATTGTTTTTTACTTATTTATAGATTGCTCTTTCAGTCCTGATTTATGAAATTCTGACATTTATGCTTACAATGATCAAAAAGCTACAAGGAAACAAATTTCAAAGTTGCAATTCATTTACCTTAATAGATATTGCTATCAGACGGCCACTGGTAGATGCCACATAAAGCATGTCATGTACCTAAATAATATTGAAAAACTGCAATTAAATTTAAAGGCAAGTAATACAAGAGAAGGCAAAACATATTCTACACCAGTTACTCTTTTTTTTTTTTTTGCTAAGAAACAATCTTTTTACGAAAAAATGGAGCATACAAATGTGTTGACAAGAATTCCAACCAAAAAAAGTTGGAAGATTACAACCATGATTAAAAGTGCCAGTCATCGCAAAAAGTTTAGTCTATATAGTTTTGTCCCATTTGGCAACAGAAAATTTATTGATCTTGGAATGAATTAGCAAAATTTGTTTGATAATAAGAGAATGATGACGTTTCATTTGTATGCAGCTTTTAGTGACTAGATGGAGAAAAGGTGTGTAAGAATTATCTGCATGTAGAGAAATTGTATAGATCATCATGGTAACATTTGGATGATAATGAAATGTACATATATGTGCATGTACGCACACATATATGAATATTATGCTAGGATCAACCCGTGGCCCTACATCCTCCGTAAGGCGCATCACAGGTTGTCCAACTGGGAGCCATACATTGGAAAATGGGGGTGAATTTCCTACAATTATGATGCAAGTTTCAATGAATAGATCCGATTTAACATGAGACGCTCGACTAATTCTTCACTCATTTTAAACCAAGATAAACTAATCAAGAAAAACTGAAGTCAAGAAGGACAAATCTAGACTCATATATCTCCATTAGATCTTCATCCAAAGACTGTTTCCTGAATGTTTCTGCAATTCACTACCTTGCTAAAATAACCCTTCTGCAAGCTAAATTAGTCATAGCTGAAGTAGTTTTGTTTGCTCCCAACCAATTTCAGTGCTTCCAGATTTTCTCACAACCACAATACATTGTTTCACTCCCTAAATTGCTAAAACAAATATGTTCAAACACATAATAATCCTAATATTTACGGCAAATTAATCTGTATTATGTTTCCGTAATATCCACTATTTCCAAATTCTATGACAAAATCCACATTTCCTCAACATATGACAAACCTTATTAGCTTTGTGCTGACACTAGAAGAGCCTGTACTCGNTTTTTTTTTTTTTTGCTAAGAAACAATCTTTTTACGAAAAAATGGAGCATACAAATGTGTTGACAAGAATTCCAACCAAAAAAAGTTGGAAGATTACAACCATGATTAAAAGTGCCAGTCATCGCAAAAAGTTTAGTCTATATAGTTTTGTCCCATTTGGCAACAGAAAATTTATTGATCTTGGAATGAATTAGCAAAATTTGTTTGATAATAAGAGAATGATGACGTTTCATTTGTATGCAGCTTTTAGTGACTAGATGGAGAAAAGGTGTGTAAGAATTATCTGCATGTAGAGAAATTGTATAGATCATCATGGTAACATTTGGATGATAATGAAATGTACATATATGTGCATGTACGCACACATATATGAATATTATGCTAGGATCAACCCGTGGCCCTACATCCGCCGTAAGGCGCATCACAGGTTGTCCAACTGGGAGCCATACATTGGAAAATGGGGGTGAATTTCCTACAATTATGATGCAAGTTTCAATGAATAGATCCGATTTAACATGAGACGCTCGACTAATTCTTCACTCATTTTAAACCAAGATAAACTANTATGCTTACAATGATCAAAAAGCTACAAGGAAACAAATTTCAAAGTTGCAATTCATTTACCTTAATAGATATTGCTATCAGACGGCCACTGGTAGATGCCACATAAAGCATGTCATGTACCTAAATAATATTGAAAAACTGCAATTAAATTTAAAGGCAAGTAATACAAGAGAAGGCAAAACATATTCTACACCAGTTACTCTTTTTTTTTTTTTTGCTAAGAAACAATCTTTTTACGAAAAAATGGAGCATACAAATGTGTTGACAAGAATTCCAACCAAAAAAGGTTGGAAGATTACAACCATGATTAAAAGTGCCAGTCATCGCAAAAAGTTTAGTCTATATAGTTTTGTCCCATTTGGCAACAGAAAATTTATTGATCTTGGAATGAATTAGCAAAATTTGTTTGATAATAAGAGAATGATGACGTTTCATTTGTATGCAGCTTTTAGTGACTAGATGGGGAAAAGGTGTGTAAGAATTATCTGCATGTAGAGAAATTGTATAGATCATCATGGTAACATTTGGATGATAATGAAATGTACATATATGTGCATGTACGCACACATATATGAATATTATGCTAGGATCAACCCGTGGCCCTACATCCTCCGTAAGGCGCATCACAGGTTGTCCAACTGGGAGCCATACATTGGAAAATGGGGGTGAATTACCTACAATTATGATGCAAGTTTCAATGAATATATCCGATTTAACACGAGACGCTTGACTAATTCTTCACTCATTTTAAACCAAGATAAACTAATCAAGAAAAACTGAAGTCAAGAAGGACAAATCTAGACTCATATATCTCCATTAGATCTTCATCCAAAGACTGTTTCCTGAATGTTTCTGCAATTCACTACCTTGCTAAAATAACCCTTCTGCAAGCTAAATTAGTCATAGCTGAAGTAGTTTTGTTTGCTCCCAACCAATTTCAGTGCTTCCAGATTTTCTCACAACCACAATACATTGTTTCACTCCCTAAATTGCTAAAACAAATATGTTCAAACACATAATAATCCTAATATTTACGGCAAATTAATCTGTATTATGTTTCCGTAATATCCACTATTTCCAAATTCTATGACAAAATCCACATTTCCTCAACATATGACAAACCTTATTAGCTTTGTGCTGACACTAGAAGAGCCTGTACTCGTGTTTGACCATGTATTTCACTATTTAAGGTGAAATGCAACTAATAAATTGAGACCTGGAACAGCAATCATTAGGCAGACGCGCAAGTAGGAATTCCAAACATGATGTGAATGGATGTTGCAATAAGGTTCGATATGTACCATTTATTGTTACATTTTACGAAGACAATTAAATTAAATGCACCTGACGATAATCGACCAGGTTCTGTAGTTTGTACTGGGGCAATTAGCAAACAACGGAATAGATATTTGACATATAAAAAAAATGTCATTAAAAATTCAAAGTCAAAAGAAGGGAACGCTGAAGATAAGTCCAAAGACAACTCAACCTGGTTAAGCAAAATCTGCAAATGAAGCACGAAATTCGCAAAAGGTCTACCAATCTAAGATACATATAATGAATTTTATAAGAAAGAGTCGCCAAAACCCACCTTATCAATGGCAGGAGACCCAAATACGCTGCCACCACAAGGAAGCTTAAAAATACAGCCATAGTTTCTATAATCCAGTGCATAAAGGTTATGGTCATATGATCCGCACCTGCAAATATTTTGTCATATCAACACAAGATCTGTCATGGGAAGTTGCATACAACATCCAAGTGCTCTTTGGCATACAACATCCAAGTTGCATACAGGCTTCTGACAGCATGGCCCATGCAAAAAAGTCAGTTTAGAGCCACCAATTCTGGTCCACCTCTTTTTTCTTTGATTTCATGTTATATTTTCTCTTCAAACGGAATTGTCTTTGAGTCATTGTTTGATGCTTAGTTGTTAGGTTGTTGGCAGGCCTAGTTGCAAATAAGCATTGACCATCAGTGGAAGGTTTGACATGTTTTGTGATTCGTCCTTCAGCAATGCAGGAGCAGTGTCATAAATAATTGGAAAGAAATAAGAACGAAACAAACCAAAAAAAAAAAAGTTGGAGGCTCACACCATGGTTGGTAAACCTCCACTGGAATAAAAGTACTGATCAAATAGATAAAATAAATTAGGAAAAATTTCACCCACACCTCTCCCGACATTTGACTAAATAACATGGGCACCCCTGACATTATAAAAATTGCACGGCAACCCCTTATCGGCGTTAACAAACTTAATACAAAAGTGGTAAAATGACTATTTTAACCATTTTAACTTAGTTTAAAATAAATAAATAATGAGTCAAATATAAGCCTAAAAATATAAAGTAATAAGTTAAATTTAAAGGAAAAAAAAGTTGGTTCATCTTCGTCTCTCTCTCTCTGATCACCCCTTCCTCACCCCTCAACCACTCTAGCCACCATCCCCTTCAACTCCCCTACCTAGTTGCCACTTGACCTCGTGCCACCAACCACCATCCTCTCTTTATCTCTGCATAAATGATCCTCACGACAATCATGGACTTATTTGTGCGCGGTTGCAATGGTGGGTGGTGTTGATCTCTCTCTCTCCACAAGAACCAGGTGGTTGGCTCAATGTTACATGGATTGTAAGTTGCTTTGGTACGTGATACGACTACGGATACACGGTACAACACTTTCTTAAATATGCGATATAATGGGGTAGACTTAACTAGTATATTATTTTGAATCGCAATTCGTTTTGGAACTTTTATCTAAATCGTTTTCACCACTATACAACGTTATATATCATAGAACAACCATAAACACTGAGTCAGTTTACCATTTATCTTACATTTGTACTCAATTTTCTATTATTTAAAATAATATATAGATATATATATATATATATACACATAGTTAATTAATATATATTTTATATTTATGCTACGTGTATAATTTGAGATCATACAATTTAGTGATTTGGATCGCGAACCCACCACATTTGAAATCAATGTACACAGATTGTAGGTCATCAAGAGAGTAGCAAATTTTGGTAACTATGATTGGAGTAGGGGAAAGTTAGGGTGGCATAAGTGTGATGTTGGCTTTGGATAGAGAGGTGANAATCAATGTACACAGATTGTAGGTCATCAAGAGAGTAGCAAATTTTGGTAACTATGGTTGGCGTAGGGGAAAGTTAGGGTGGCATAAGTGTGATGCTGGCTTTGGATAGAGAGGTGATGGAGTAGAGCAAGTGCGGCGGTGGTGGTGGGTATGAAGGTGATGATTTTAGGGATTTAAAGACAAATAAAAAATAGAGAGAAAGTGGGGGGTTGGGGGAGGGAGGGGGACTAGTGATGGTTGGTTGTGCGAGGTAAAGGTGGACAGAGGGAAGGGAGGTATATAGTGGCCTATTGGATAGTGGAGGTTTGTGATGAAGGTGGGTGGTTGTTCGGAATGTTCAAAGGTTGGTGTGGTGGTGGTGATTGACACAATTTTAGTAACTAACAATTAAAGGAAATTAATTAGATTTAATTGAAATTTAATAACAAAATTAAAGATAATTTTAGTAACAAATAATTAAAGAAAATTAATTAAATTTAGATGAAATATAATAACAAAAAAAAATTGATTTGACTTATCCTATATAAATTTAGTTGGACATAATAAGTGGATTTGAGCTTAATTAGGAGATAGATTTCACATAATTAACGAAAATAATAAGATTTGATTTCTCCTTGGCACTAAATTTGACTTAATAAATGAGTTATTTAAATTTGAGGGGAATTTTGAAAATATGGTGCATTATTTAGATAATGTCATCCTTTTTTGTTAGGGTTCTAATATNTGATTTCTCCTTGGCACTAAATTTGACTTAATAAATGAGTTATTTAAATTTGAGGGCAATTTTGAAAATATGGTGCATTATTTAGATAATGTCATCCTTTTTTGTTAGGGTTTCTAATGTTTGGAAATAGGTGTTTTTATTGCACCGAGGGTCGTTGTAACGTTTTGGTTCGCTCAAACAAGTTGATGTTTCAAATACCAATCATCATTTCACCAACTTAGTTCCCACACTAAAGTTCAAAGGTATGCATGGAGCCAATTAAAATACGTAAGTTATCGTTTACAAAACCAACCCTACACAAAGGTTTTCTCAAAAATGACACTTGTAATGTACAAAAAAACTTAAAATACTACTCTTTCTAAATAGGAAAATAAGCTTAGCTCAACTCCAATTCCTCAAAACTCATGCTCTACTGCTTAAATTCATTGAAAAAGAGAATAAGATTTGTAGGATGAGTATCCACATGCTCAATAGATTAATCGGATTCTACGATAAATATGGTTTGAAAATAGCATATCATTTAACAATGATTGGAATTTAAACGGGCTTTCAGATATATATAACATAATACCAAAGCATTTTAGTATCACAAATGGGTATTTAATCAAAATAGATATTTACAAGTCAAAATATATTAAAGATATCAGTATCATAAATCATCCAGTACTCACAGTGTCACACCAGGAGAACAAAAACCTATGCAGCCACATGGGTCCAGAGGACATCTCCAATGCCTCTATATCAAACAATAACCTTTTAGGGGGATTGTTACTAAGAGAAATTCATCCTATATAGGTAATCCGGTACCCAAGCCAGAAAGGTACTGGACCACCAAAATCGATGAACTCAGTCAAACCCTCCGGTTAGAAACCGGGCTCATGGGCTCTCTACCGTTCAATCAAGTGTACACAATACTTTTCACGAAAAAATTCGGGTAATCAATTTCACAAAACATAGCTCAAGAGTTTAACAATTCACAGCTCCAAAGAACACTATCGGATCCGAAGTTAAAACCAGTATTCACACCCAATCATGTCAATCGAAAATATTTATCAAAAAACATATTAAAATGGTTTGAATATGAAAAGGTGTTCGAATATCCAAGCTCAACGTAGCACCAGATAACCTACTATAGTCTCGTTTCAGATATCCGATGTCAAAAATCAAACAGTTACACTTTCTAGAAGCGACTCAAATATAAATCAATAAGACCTATTAAAACATAGAAATTAACTTGATTAGGTCAAAATTGCATTAGATGCGAAAGTTGATCCGCTAAAAGGGTAAAATGGTCATTATCTATGCGTAATTGAAATGATATCGGATTTGCACAAGCAAATTATGGATAGCAAACCCTTAAAAAGAGGAGTTTGAANCAAAATTGCATTAGATGCGAAAGTTGATCCGCTAAAAGGGTAAAATGGTCATTATCGATGCGTAATTGAAATGATATCGGATTTGCACAAGCAAATTATGGATAGCAAACCCTTAAAAAGAGGAGTTTGAAGGTCCAAACCACACCCCCAACACATGCCCCATGCGCCATCGGGGTGGCTAGTGGTGCCCCCCCCCCCCCCAATCCTTTCTTTCCCAGCTTAATTCCCTCTCCTTCTTTATCCCACATTTCTCAACCAAATTAAGTGATTCAAAAGCTAAACTATTGATATGTCACATCTCTTTTTAGATCCATGTGTTGGTTTGTGTATCCCACCCCAATTTTTTATAAAATTAAGCTTAAAGTTGAGCTTCAACTAAGAACTTCTATAGACAGACTTGCAAATTGAGTTTCCAAATCAGGTCAAACCAAGCCGGTAAATGGATTTCTGGACCCCAAAAACATTGGACATACTCCACCTTTGAGATTAAAACCAAGTTTTTCAAAGATCTATCAAAATCAACTTAAAGCTTAAAATTAGGGTTTGATGGTTCTCTCAACTCCAACCAGGGCAAGATCTAAAATTTGAAACATAGTCTCTCTAAGCTACTAGAAAACTTACCCTCAAACAATTTTGCAAGGTTGACGGGTTGCAGAGATCCAATTTTGTCTTCCTCCTACCTTCTTTTTCTTTTTTCTCTCATTTTTGATTTGTTCTTAGCAACAAAAGTAAGAGTGGCAATCGAATCGTATCGTGTCAGATCATTACACGTTTATGTCGAACATTAGTCAATCCTAACCCAACCCATTTAATTAATCGTATCGTGTTCAGGTTCATATTCGTGTTGACCCATGTAAACTTTAAATAAAAAAATTAAAGCTAAAATTCTATTTTCACTTAATTGAATCAATGCTCATACTTTTTCTATAAACTATAATTATGGCAATGCTTAATAAACAGTTACAAATAATTAACATTTTATTTTCATAATACTAGTTAAACATGTTAATCGTGTTAATTTCATGTTGTTCGTATGCTATTATATAAACGAGAAGATCGAGAAATGTCCATTCTTAACTAAGTCCTTCAAAGTTATCATGATTTTGAAGCTGCTAGACTTAAAATAGATTTCTTCTACTCTACAAGGAAAGAATAATCACCATATTCTTAAATTGTGATCCTATTTTCTTTTTATACTATACCTAAACGAATTGAACATGTCATTTTTGGATAAAAACTTATCAAGTCGTGCTCGTATCGTTTTGGTCATTGTCAGATTAGTGTCAATACGATTAAATAAACGGGTTGATTGTGTCAATTTCGGGTTTGACGGATTGAACCCGAACACAACCCATTTGCATTATATGTTCACGTGTCGTGTCATTTTCTAGTTCGTGTCAAATTATAATCGAGTTTTTGTCATTAAATTCTTGTTGAGTTCGAGTCATGTCGTCGTATTGAGTCAAAAATTGTCACCCCTAAACTGAAGTCTCCACTGGCCTTCCCCTTCTTCTTTACTTGCCCGCAATTCAACTTGCATGCAGAGCCGGCCCAAGGCCTAGGCAGCTAAGTTGCTTGCCTAGGGCCCCAAAATCTAGAAGGCCCCCCAAAATATTTATCCATTTGGTATGCCTAAATTTTTATTTTTTATTTTGTATTTTAAATATAATTCAAATTTTTAGGGGCCAAATTTTACAAGTTCAAATCAATATCTAATTTTGTTAGGTCCAAAATAACTCTCTACTTGATTAAGCCCAAATTTTAGGGGGCCTTCATAAAATTTATCTCTTTAGTATAATTGGCCCTTTTTATTTATTTTTTGTATTTTAGATATGATTCAAATTTTTAGAGCCCAAATTTTAATAGTTCAAATCAATATCTAATTTTTTTAGGTTCAAAATTACTTCTTCGTGTGAGCTTTGATTTAAGTTTTTCTAACTTTTTTGGGCATATTTACAGTTGTATTCCACTCACTCCCATAGAAAATTTATTTACATTATTTCTTGTGGTGAAAACTATAAAATTGGTTACTTTTTGTCTTAATATAAATTTTCAGTTCAAATAATTTAAGCTTAAATTATCAGTGTTATCAAAGTTTCGTACTTCATGCGTGCACATAACTCATGGGTAAAGAATGATTTTTTGTTATCTTAAAATTATTTTTTGCTCACATATTTTATCATTAAATTATTTGTTTAAAACTTAAATTGACTAAATCTTATTGANATTATTTTTTGCTCACATATTTTATCATTAAATTATTTGTTTAAAACTTAAATTGAAAAAATCTTATTAATTGAAATAGATTTATTGTCAAAACTTGATCAATATTTAAAAATAATAAATAATAATTTTTAAATAAATAAAATTATAATAGTTATAAATATAATATATTAATAGACAAAATATTAATAAGGACTCATATGAAATTTTTGCCTATAAGCCCACTTTACATTGGGCCGCCCCCTGCAGCTGCTTGCATTTGCTTGTTGGAAGAATACCATTGCATGACATTTTTGTAATTTCTCAATTTTTGAATTTCTTTTTT